TCGTGGTTTTGTATTCTGTAAATCTTCTGGTTTATTTTCATAATCAATATCGTTTAAATTAATTTCTCCATTTTCTGCCATCTTGTCTAATTTCTTTCTTCTGTGAAATCTTATAGCACTTGCCGTTTTGGTGTCCATAAATTCCTTTTCGTGTCTCCTTCTTTGATAATATAATATGTTATATAGTTTGTTCCAGTGTCATATCTTCAGGTTCAATACTCATTATACTATATTATATTATATTATATATTTCTTTAAAATACATTTTACAAGATTTTTAAATTATTTTTTATTTCAGATTTTGTTTTTCTTTATTCTTATCTTTATCCTTTTTTTTCTTCATCAGTTTCAGCATCAGTAGGGACAGGAATGTCAGTCAACGCTGCTATTTCATAATTAGCATTTTCTTCTGACGATGATGAACTAACAATATGTGTTGAAGAACTATTAACAGTGATAGGTGGAGAACTATTAACGCTAATAGGGGGAGAGGAGGTTGATAAATTAACTTCGTCATTGCCTTGCAATGTCGTATTTAACTCAACTTCTTCACTAACATTTGTATTGAACATATTCATTATGGCAGTTGCTATATCGTATGATGTTACTAATGAATTCATTGTTAAATTAACTAATAACTCTGAACCTTGAATTGTAGTTAGTGTAGTGTGATATGTTAAATGTGCTACTATTTGTCCTATACTAAAACCTGACCTCATCATAAATTCTATAATCCTCACCAACATAAATTCTTTCTTTCTATATGTATCAATGTCATCATCCTTTTTTTATCATCATCATCATCGTCATCATCATATAGATCAGGATCATATGTAAATGCTATTGCTTCTGCTTGTGCCTTGGTTATCAGTTTGCTTTTGAAACTCTTTGAAGACCCACCTAATGGTTTTGTCATATCATCAAAATTATGAGTTTGTGTCGCTTCATCATTTGGTAGGTCTGTTTGTGTTGCCTTGTTTTCTTTGTTAAGCGTTTGTGTTGCCTTGTCTGTCATCATAACTTCTGCGTTCATATATCTTTCTTTATTTTTATAATTCATTAAATCCATTTCATCAAAATCAAAATTATTCAATAACATATATTGCTTGTATTTCTTCAGTATAACTGTTGTTTTTATTTTGCTTGTCATTGCTTGTTTAAGCATTTCATCATATGTAGGGCGTTTCCTTAACTCGTGCTTGAGGTTGTTAATCATTGTATATAATTATTGATAAATTATGTAAAATGATCTATTTTTCATTTGTTGCTTTACCTTTTCCTTTATCTCTCCAGTCTTTCATTCTTTTTCTTAACAATTCATCATTTACTTCTGTTGTCCATTTTCCGCTTTTTATTAGGTCTTCAACCTTTGCTACTAAAAGTTGTGTTTGCGTGAGGTCATATGAACCACTCCTTCTTGGTCTCTTCTCTTTTCCCGATGCTGTATTATATTCCTCCTCCTCTGATTCTGTTAGTTCAATACCTCTTAAATGCAATTGAAACAACAAATCTTGTTCAGAAACTCCTCTCCATTTTGTTACTGTTGTGCTATAATCAATTGTTTCTTTGTGTCTTATAGATTTTGTTGGTGGAAGCGTTGATGAAATGTCAGCGTTGTCCCTTTTTTGCTCTCTTATTTTTTCTGTTTCTTTTATTTCTATTGGTTCAGGACTGTCTTTATCTTCGTCAATAAATCGCTTCAATTTCAATCTTGCTCTTGCTTTCTGTAAATTTGAAACTCTTTTTGGTTGTAAATCTTCCAATGGCGGTAAATCATCATAGTTGCTTGATTTTGATGATACTACTGACTGCCACTCATCTTTATCTTCTAACTGTCTTGCTCGTTGTGCTCGTTGGTGTAGATCTGCTATTTGTTTGCTACTAAGTCTTTTTGACACTTGACTGATTTGTCGTTCGTGTTGTCCCTCTGCATCGTCCATTGTGGCACTTAATGTTTGTATTGATCCGTCTCTTAAATCATCCATTTCGATCATCCTTTGTCATATCAAAATGCGGGACTGTTTTTTAGGTTTTTCTAATATTTTTAAAAGTGTTGTTGTCTCAAATCTACTGTATTATTATCATACACTGTTCCTAATGGACTATCACAAAATAATAGGCGTTGCGATCTATTACATCTCTGATATTCTTATTTTTGTATTCTTCCTTTGTAATTTCCTTTATCAGTTCATTATAAGACGGTCTTAATCTTAACTGTGATTTTAATGTTTTCATCTGTGTATCGTCTAATCTCATTGGTATATAACATTAGTTAGATTATACTTTGTTAATCTAATTAGTTCAATTAATTTAATCAAAATTAAAACCCTTTCTTAATTGATTGATTATTCCTTTCTTGTTCTTAATAATTTCTGAATAGGATTTACCTGTTTCACTTGATGGATGATGTCTCAGTTTTTCACTTTCCAACCTTTGGATTTCATTAAAATACGTCTGTGCTTCATCCATATATCTTCTGACAAAGCCCAAGTGACTTGAGCTTTTGAGCTGTAGGCATTTTGCCATGCACGAAAAACGCATGCATGGACTGAGCGCCACCGCAGCGCGCGCAGAGCCAAGCTTTACCTTTGCAAAAGACCCTCGCTGCGAAGGCAAGTTGGTAGCGGAGCCAACTGTGCTCCTTAGATCCTAGGCCCCGCGCAATGCCGCCCAGCCTTCGGCAGATGGAGAGACCGAGGACCCCTTCGGCCAGGTCGGATGACGGCAACAGCGCCGCTGGGTGGTCGCCTTCCCTGAGCGACCCTGGTAGGCCTGAAGGCCCTAGCCCTGGGAGCCGCCCTGCCCCAGCTGGGTTGTTTGCACATGTGCAACCCGCTGGTGAGGCCCGCGGCCCGGACTGTGACCTTCCCTTCAATGAGCCCCAGGTGCCTTTTCAGGAGCCTGTCAACCCGCCGGTTGTGCAGCAGAACATCGCCCGAGATGATGAATGGAGGTGCCGCCAGTGTCATGGCCAGGACTACCTCTTCCAGAACGGGCAGTGGCGCTGCCCCGGTTGTGGCTTCGACGGCTTCTACCTGTACCGCCAGGACCCCAACTTCGGTGGCTACTGGCCACATCCACCTCGAGGGCAGCAACCAGATCACGCACCACTGCATCGAGTGCATCCTGGACCTCCCATTCCTCCTCCGTCGGATGGCGACTACCAGGAACGCGGCGAGAGCGAGGCGCCCATCAACGACCCCGTGGTGGACCCCGACGGCATCCCTGGTCGTGGATGCCAGCCACGACGTCGACGTCGAGGACGAGGCCCTGGACAGCACCCACGGCAAGAACCCCGCGAAGAACCCCCGAGACCGCCTCAGCAAGGCCAAGCCAGACCTCCTCAGGCAAGAAGCTCGCCGACGACGACTGGACATCACAGCATGGGCCACGCAAGGGGCTGAAGTTCCGTGGAGGAGCTCCACCTCTGCCGCCCACGTGGCACTACGACAAGGGCGACCTCAAGGCGTACCGCAAATGGGAGAAGCGCGTACGAATCTGGGAACTCCAGATCGTGAACTATGTTCCCTGCAAGGAGGCCGGCATCCTGCTCTTCAACAGCCTCAAGGGCGAGCTCGAGGAAGAAATGGAAGATGCGCCCGTGGACAGCATCTACTGCCCCACCGGCATCGACTTCGTGCTGGAGCCATCCGCAAGGCAGTGGAAACCCGGAGCGTGCACTTGAAGCGCAAGCTACTGTCCGACTACGAGCGCATCTACCGTATCAATGGAGAGAGCATGCGCGCCTACGTGAATAGGTACCAGAGAACCGAGCGCTCTCTGCTGTCGGTCGGCATCGAGGTCTGCAAGATGTACGATGCCGAGAGCAGAGGGGCGCGGCTCCTCGAGAGGAGCAAGCTATCTCATGAGCTCCAACGCCAAGTCGCCGCCAAGTTCTCATCGGCGCTCAGCAGACTCTCGTCTTCGACACAGTCAAGGACGTCCTGCTCTTCCAGTACCCAGATCATCGCCCCCCGCCTCAGATCATGGGCGCCTTCGGCCCCAGAGATGATGCTCCATGCCGTGACCAGCATCAGCAGCGACCTCATCGGCTGTGGGGCAAAGGCAAGGGCGACTCCAAGGGTCACAAAGGAGGAGGCAAACCAGACGCCCGACGACAGGTCTACGCTACCGAGACCACGGACCTCCCGGACACCGACAACCAAGAGGACATCTCCCTCGAGCAGGAGGAAGACAACCTGGAGACCATCCCGGAGGACTGCCAATGCTGGCAGCCGTCGCGTTGACGTCATCGCCAACGGCTTTCCTTCGTCCGTGTTGTTGGCTCATGTGCACAAGGGCCGCGCGTGAGTCTGCCTGCTCCGTTGCCTTGCTTGGCGCCCGGCGCCACAAAGAGGCCACATACCAAGAGTTCCTTGGCAATGACCGCAGCTGTTTGGTCGTGCCGGCCGTTGGCTTTGCGCTTGCTTGCTCGGGCCAAGGCGCAGCTTCACATGCCTTTGTCGCAAGCTTGGCCCGCATCGCGGACCTGGCAACCGTGATGGTCCGGCGCTTGCTCAGGCTGGCCCCTTCGCAGCCCGTGTTTTCCTTGCTGTTCCCACTTGCCCAGGTTTAGACTCGATTCAGTCTTTTTTCGGGTCCTTCTGCTCCGTCGCCTGCGCCTCCATTTGCCTTTGCCTTTAGCATCTGTTGGCTGTGCACCCTCCTGCGGGATCTCAAAATCCCGGTTGGAGGCTTCGATGACAGACGCGTTGAGGTGACGCCAATGGACTTCCCTTGTGGGGCGGGGCGCAGCTCGAAGTCGACACCACCTTTGTGTCAGCGTTGGACTCAGCTGGGCGGGCACGTGTCTACCACCGCCGTGTGGAAGGAGCAGCTCTCCGCATAGCTCGGCGTGCAAAGGAGCGAACCCACCATGACCTCGAGGTGGGGGGGGGGGTGGAACCCGGAGGCCGCCCAGTCTGTCCGCCTCCTTGCCCGCTCCTCGCCGCTTTTTGTAAGGTGGACGGAAGCGGGGGGGGGGAACAAATGCCCGGGGCGGTAAGCTCAGGGAAACCCGGAACGTAGAAACACTTTGCAGGGAAACTGCATTCAACCAGTTTGCCTCTTTTTGATCGCATGCGCTATTGGCGGGGCAGGACCAATCACAGTGGGACATGGTTTTAAATTTCTTCTGCTGCGCCTGGCTTGCGGGGCTAGCAGTTACTTGGATAGCGTCGCTTGGGGCTCAGCCCTGAGCTCATGGCAAGCAGTGTGAGGGAGAGTCTCCACAAAACAGACAACACCTTGCCAAAATTCAGGAAAGATGATGGCCCTCGCTTCCTTCCGAAGGCGAGCTCGAGAAAGGGTGGTAGAAACCTGCCACTTTGAGGTCTTTCACTCCGCGATCCTTGTGCCGTGGCTTCGGGGCCGCAGTCAAGCCCCCAGTTTCCCATTTTGGATTGATTGCTGGATACGGAACTGCTCCTGGCAGCTCAGGCCCAGCCACAGACCTTTGCAATCTACCGTGTTTTGGCTGCTGATAGCTGCATGTTCATCTGTGGTTTGGGGTGCTGTCACTGCTAGGTTATGGACAAGCAGGCCAAGCCATTCCTACAGGAAATGCATTTTTTATCGCTTTCTAACTCGTTTTGAGGATTTCCACGAGTTTTTGACCCCATGACTATTCCATTGACTTGAAGGAATGTGGGCCAATGATCCTGGATGCTTTGATCAAGATCAAAGACGAGGCGCATGCAATTCGCATGCAATGTGACAGCCCTCGTGACGGACTGATGTCACAACCCAGGTGGACGCCACACTTACCTTTCGCAGGCTCCTTTCTGTCCAATGCTGCCTTGCCTACCTTCGGGTGACGCCAGCAGTGGTTCCATTTGTTTTCGCAGGTCCTGCCGCGAAGGGATTTGCGGCTCCTGCGTGCGCACCTCAGGACAAGTTAGGTTTTCTGAGCAAGCGCACCAGCCCGAGCTTAGGCGATGAACATCAATGGCAAGAATGGCCTTGCAAACACGCGGCTAAGCGTGGGATCCAAGTTGCAGCTGGTTAGGGTCGGGAGTTTTTTGGCTTGCAGGCAGCAAGCCTATTGAGATTCAGCCACTGCCCCACACCTATGTCGTGAAGGAACCCATATTGGAAAGCTGGCCAACTAGGTTGTTCGTGTTCCTTGCAACCCTAAGCGAAGTACTGGCAGGATTTGGTCCCTGACCTCACAAACTTCTACAATCAGTGCGCCGACCTTTGTAAAGGTGGATGAAGCTGCAACTGGCACCAAAAGGTACAAGTCGATCGAGCCATGGTTGAAGCGCAAGGACTGCAGGGAAGAAGGTAAACAGCAAAGAGGTCTTGGTCACTTGTAGTCAGGAAGCCTTTTGACATGTAGGATGATTCGGGTTGGTTTTCAGCCGAGTAAATCGTGCATGGCCCACGTAGACTTGAAGCAGAACCGCATAATTGTTTGTGCTTTCGTTTGAATCCAGTGACTGCTCTTCTGACTTTTTTTCGAAAGTGCGGAGGCTAGCATACCCTTTGCACATGCTCAAGATCGCAGTGTTTAGTGCCCGGGCTGCCCTGAAACGTACAGACCTTGGCACTTAAGCCATCCTGTGCTTTCAGCAGTGAAGAGAACAGCCCTTTCTTGTCCTGCGCTGCATTTGCTTTGCGTTGCTTCTGTTTGCTTTCTTGTCTTGCTGTTTTGCTTCGTGCACTCTTCCTTCCGTACTTGCGTAATCATGCAAGGCTTGCTTTGTTGCTAGAGCTGGCATGCATTTCCAAAAACACAATCGTTGGAAAAAGCCGCCTTGCATGCGCTTTGGGTAGCACCACATCAGAACCCGATTTTTTTGTTGGCGCAATTCTCGGCTGCGTTTCCGAACTGTGTTATGTCCTCACTTGGGAACACAACCTCCGTGAGAAGTTGCTTTAGTCTACTTTGTTCCCTGAAGGATGTCAAGTCCAAGGATGACAAGGACGCGTGCTTTCTGCAGGTGACGCAGCCGTCACTATGAGTATGGTTTTGAGGCACGATTAACATGACGGTGCCCGATCATGAAGTTTGCTTGTGTTATATTGCTGTGCAACCTTCAGGCAGAAGCGGTATGGAGCATCCGTTGCAGAAAACATCTCTTGGTTTCTCAAAGGTCTTCTGAAAGCCGAGCGGTGCCTGTCCAAATTTCGAACTGCAGGAATACTTCCAGAGCCGTGAGGACTTGGTGAGTCGTCGCTATAGTCTGGATCGATTGGTTTGCTTGAAGGATCGCGCCAAGCTTGACGGTATGTACGAGTGCATCCTTTGCGCTTGCTGCATGACCTCTTGCCCATCGTATTGGCTGAACTGGCAGATTGACTGCGGTAGCTCAAAAGGCGGATAGCGGATCCATGGCAGGTGGAATCCGGAGTACTACCTTACTACCTGGGTCCTGCGGTGTTGATGCAGCCTGAAGAGTCGTCTTCTGCTTGCCTGAAGTTTTGTGCCCTACTGCACGTTGCCGGCAGTGTTCCATTTCCAGGCAAGGTGGATTGCGCACTCCCGGGATTATTCACTGACCCTCTAGCCTGCATCGGTGAGGCAGCAGCTTGCGTTTGGCAGCGCTTAGCATGAATGACACCATGAAGCTGTACCGCTGCCACGGCATGTTGGCTGCAAAAGCATCTTTCTCACGAACTTTGTAGCAATCACTGAGTTATGAGTTATGAGTGCGAGGGTATCCTTTTTGGGGTTTAAAGAGCGACGAGGAAAACCACAACGGGGTAGTTACCAAATCACCTGTCGCCTGTTTCTGAGGCATCATGAACTGCACCAATTGCTGTCCCAAGGGTTTGGATCCTGCGAAGGCCGGATTCACGGGTCTCCTTGTTTTTGGTTTCGTTTGGTGCGGAGTGACTGGCAGTGACTGGAAAGGCGATTGTCCATCTGAAGGAGACTTCAGGAGCAGGTTGCTGAAACCTACAAGGACGGATGGAAGCTGCAGACTCAGACGCATGCGGGGCACGTGGTTGGTCCTGCCTTTAGCCAAACATTAAGACGAGCGTGAACAGCGAGTTTGGTCAGTCTGATGCGGTGTGTGTTTGGACAGTCTGGTTGATGCATCATGGGTTGATCAGTAGGTTTGCCTTTCAAAATGCCCCTTTTTACATAATTGTGAGTTGCGATGCCCCAGTTCGTGTGTCGAAGAGCTTACGCAATGATATTGGAAGCCAGCAACAAGCTGCGCTCGCCGAAAGCTTGGGGGGCCGCAAAGGTGATTGGACTTGGGAAGACGTTGCTGTTACAAATGCGCATGATGTCAACTGATTGGCTTCAAAGCATCCAGGTCCATGATGACCGAACAGATCGTCAAGAACAAGGCAGTAATTGTTGGAGCACAGGAACTCACCTGAGTCGCATTTGCAAGCGACTTGGTCAGGGCCGCGAGTCTGGCATGATGTACATGTGAGCGCGGACTTGGCTGGAAGTTTCCAGACTCAAGCCTGCCAAAGGAGTCAAAAGCAAATAATTCAAAGTATTGTTCCAGATGTTTGGAGCAAAATGAAAGCAGCCAGTCTCCCGCTAGTAGCGGGGCAGCTGCGTAGGCATTCAAATGTTTAACACTTGCGGCCGTCGGGCGTACCGATACTGGTAGGACGTTTGCCAATTGGAGCAAAACCTACAACGGCTGCACATGCCCAGGTTGCAGTTTATCGAACAGTGCCTATTTGCGATCGCGTTTTTTCTCCCCAGACTCGTCTTGGTTCGAAGCCTTTGGGAAATTGCACCCAGTCGCTGTCAAGCATGACGGTTGTGTTTGAGAAAACCCTGAGCAATCATGTGTCAAACTGAACGGACCATCAACAGCGCTTTTTTTTTGTGCGTGTATGCGCACAAGGACGGTTCGGCATGCACGCCATTGTGGCCTCAGCTGTTTAACATCTCGCTGAGCGGGATCGAACGTCGTTGCTTGGTTCATCTCTTGGTTGGTTGGTTGGTTGGTTGGTTGGTTGGTTGGTTGGCTACCTTTTGCTTCCCTCGCCTGGAATCCTGGTTGCAGGCTTGCTTTAATGCGCAGCTCGTCGGCCGTGCGAATGATTGCGTTCACCTGCGAAGCCCCTCCGGACTCCCCGAGCTGATGCTGTGTTGAGACACCGGGAGCTCACCGAACTCGGGCCAAAACAGAAGAAGTGCCCCCCCCCTGCTTGTACTGGCCACTCGCCTTGGTCCTCTCCTTAACCAAGCAGCCGTGGGTGTGGGCTGTCGCCGCGCCGAAGGCCGCTTCGGAGCTTCGAAGCGACTAGCTAAAAGTCAAATGCTAGAGCCTTCGAAGACAACTGTGCGGAGAGGTAGGCTCACGTTGCCCAAGCGATGTGTCACTTCACTTTCCAGTTTGCTGTTCATGAACCGAAAGAGCACGACATTTCTTGCAGCAGAGTTATGAGCCGAAATATCAAGTGGCCAGTGCAAATGAGAATTGTTTATCAAGGGCGACTACTCATGTGCAAGCTCAGAGTCAGCTCGTTTTGAATGAATTGGTGGCTGGCTTTGGCACATGCAATGGCAGCAGCAGGCACGAAGTGAATGGCGGTCATTTGTCAACCGGGCGCAATGTTGCTTTGGCTTTGGCAGGCTCCTGCTGGCCACGTGTCGACGAGACGGCACAACGAGATTGTTGCAGCACTGTGCACCACAGCAGCACGCCCTGACTGAGTTGCGTAGCGGCTGCCGAATAAGTGTTTGCTAGGCATGGCGAGCGCGGCCATCCTGCGTGCTTCAATGAGTTCTTCTCATTCGAGGCCCAATATTGTTCGGTACGTGCGTTTTGCGTGACTTGGGGCAAAGCGGCGCCGAGGTGTGTTGCTTGGGCAAGGCGCGTTTTCCAAACCAAGCATGCCAATGAAGCCAGTTTTGGTGCTTGTCTACAATTGTTTGATCCACGCTGTGCAGTGCAACCTGCTTTTGATAAATCCTATGGTATCCAAGTGAGTGACGTGTGGCCGTGGCTGCTACGTGCATACACTAGCAGTGCAATCCTTTCTCCATTCGAATCTGGTATGAGTAGGATTTGGCACATGGGTTGGCAGGGGCTACGGCTCCTGCCCTGCTTGGGCTAGGCAGCGCCGTTTGCATCCTGGCCTGTGGACATTGTGATTTTGGGATTTCCAAGCTCTGGCACGACAAGCATGACAAGGATATTTGCCAGATGGTGTCATTGTGATTGCAGAGGGGCTTGAAGTGTACCTTGTTGAGGACGCTGGCGTCACACCGAAATGCAGCCGGGCTGAAGTAAGAAGACTTGATTGGGCTCTTTCTTTTGGCATAGTGACAGGTTACTTTGTTCAGCCGCGATGCGACGCCTGGCTCAATCGGTGATGATGCTGTTGGCCAAGTGCCACTTGTGCTCTTTGTGACTTAGGTTGGGGAGGCGGTGGAACAAGACGGAGATGCAGGCTTTGCTTTTGACTCGTGACAGCGGTTGGTCAATGAGCAGTCTTCAAGTTTGTGACGTTTCGAAGCTTCTGAGCGTGCTCCACGGTTTAGCTTTTCGTTTGCGTTTTTTGTCGGGTTTCTTTGATGCCCAGCTCGTTCTGTTTGACCCGAAAACTGGCCTCACAGACGTTGCCTCAGTTTTTTCAAGGGAGTTCTGTCAATCGAGTTTGGAATATGGGGGCGCATCTAGAGGGCTTGTTTCCATGCTTCTCCAGCGTGCAGATTGCGAGGCTTTGAACTTCCTTATCGCGAAGCGGTCACGCTTCGCCTTCATCAAGCTGGGATGGGAGATGGCTCGGGAGAAGAGGAAAGCTGTGGGGAGCATTTGACACTGTAGTTCGCATCTCAACCCGTGCAGGACAAAAGCCTTGGATCGATTTACAGAGTCTTCTTCAAAGCTGCTAATGTCAGACCCCACACTGATGTTGAGCCCGGACACGATCTGGGCTATGCTACAACTGCGGATGGCGAAGTTTCTGGTCATGGTGCGCGATCCAGTGTGGCTTGAACAGTTTAGGAGGCAGTGCGGAGTGTTTCTTGGGCTTAACGTGTGCTCCTGCTGCTTTTGTTGCAGAGCTGTCCTATTTGATGTGTTCAGGTTTCGACGGCTCTTTGTTCGGTTCGGAACGCGGGCTTTGAAGAGGTTGTCTTAGAGGGCCGCGGCACTCTGCACTGTCCATCCTGCGTTGCGTGCCCGAAGCTTCGAAAGATCCAAGGTCATGGTTTGCAGCTTCAATATGCAGAGCTGGCTGCACATTACAGCATCAGCGGGCTGCTCTGTGTCATCGCTTGCCATCCTGGGCCAAGAGGTTTGGAAGCACCTGGCGCGCCCCACTTGGGAATTGGCTCCGTTTTTGCGAGGCCCACGAGAACTGGTTTCCCTGCGCCAACTACTCACTGGCAACGCCATACGTGTCACATCGGCTGCAGGGTTTGATTGAGATGCTTCCTGGACGTTCCCGGCTCGCAGTTGTGAGCCTTGAGTCGTTGAAGGCCGAGCCGCGCCGAATGATGACGGCAATCTATTCATTTCTGGGCCTTCGGCCGGCGCAGCGCAACTTCTTGTCTCTCAATGCTCATGAGGCCAGTCACCCCTGCCAACGGCTTATGCAGAATGATGCCAGACTCACTCATCATTTCCAATCCGAGCGAGCGAAGCTGGCTGCCATTCTCAAGGCCTTTTCGCCTGACAAGCGGCTCCGCCAAAACTTCACCCTGTAGCTTCTAGGCACTGTCAGAGATTGCTACCTGTGCGTCGTGCGCATGCACCGGCAAATGGCCATTGAGCTCCATACCATCTCGAACTCAGCCGACTGTCCTCGATGGCATGCGCTACACGAAATTCCGCCACCTCGCGGATGCATTTCCGGCCGATCCTTAATCATGCATCAAAACAATTTGGACTGCGGGAGTTGACGGCGTGCAATGTGTGCGCTGACGTGTGGAACGAGAAGTTGGTTGAGTATGTGCAGCGCGCCCATGGCCATGATGGGCAAATTGTGATTTCGACGCGCTGGGGGCTAAATTCGAAGTCACACTTGGATCTTCCTGTGAGACTGGAGTCGCTTCCTGGGAAGTATAGATGTTGAATTGGCAAGGTGTTTGAAAGACACAGCTTTTTGTGAGAATGCAGGCTGTTCAATAGCCTGCATTTGCAAGCTAGTTGTAAAGGAGCGGAATGTCAGACACTGTGACATTTGGATCTCAGGATTGTATTGAATTCATTTGATTTGCCTTCCGGCAGGGGGCTGGCATGAATTGGACTTTGGGGGCTTGGCCATGTCTTTGCCTGTAGGCTGAGTGTCCAAGAGAGGTTGAAGGCCTTGTGAACTCTCCGGCTGCAGAGGTGGCCCTACTGGCGCAGCGAGGTGATGTGCGGACAGCAGTCCAGCCGAGACTCAGATAAAGACTGGGTCGAGGAGGCAGCGGGGACGTGTTGGGGGCTGCCTGGGGGGCTGCGTTTGCTTCCTTGGATTGGACTCGCTGCTTATCTAATTCTTGTTAGTTTTGGTTATAATTTGAGTTACTCTTAATACCAATATTACATAGAATTCAGGAAATAACCTAGATGTCCCAAATTTGTTGAATACACGTTGTAAATGCCTACTGATTTGCAAAGCCGATGCTATTGGAAAGGAAATCCTGTGTAGCTTTTGTTTTGACATAGAATTAATATTAATTAGATTCTAATTCAACATGCACATGGTTGGATTCTGTCCTTATTTAATGCAATTTGAATGTGAGGTAGAAATTAGGAGAACTTGGTACATCTATTAAGTAAAATTCATAGGGAAATAAATTAGCAGTCCCGAAAGTGTTGAGTACATGTTCCTGTGCAACATGCATATTAAAGTATAAGAATCATTATTCAAATTCTACTTTAACATGGAAGTTCTGATTGGAGTCATTCTTTTGACTGCAACTCTTTTCAGTTTCAGTCAGAAAATTGAGTAGACTTTGACAAAAGCTTTTAAGTCATAAGGGCAGAGGTCCCGAAATCGTGTTTCTGTTTGCTTACTAGCCCAAAAAAGAAGTGGTCTGTAGCCTTTTTCGTACTCAATTAAAAGAAGACATCTCCACCAACAGCCGCTCTTCAAAACTTGGTTTGAATTTGAATAGGATTTAAATTGGGACTCAATAAAGAAGTACTTGATCAGAATCATACAGCGAATTGCATCTCACTTTTAGACTCTAGATGGAAATGGAACTTTGCAATTAAGATAGAGTTTAAACATAGTTTGATAAGGAAGGAACGAATCCAATCACCGACAAGGAATGAATTCAATCCTTTGTTTTTATAGAATTTGGTTGGGAATGATTCTATTTTTAATGATAGTTCTAACCACCCCCCGGTCTCGAACGAGCAGACGAACTTGATGCTTCTTTTTTTTAAATAAAGCATCCCCAACCCGAAAATCCCAAAACTCACCAAAAAAGACAAATAAAGCAAAACACAGAACAAAAACAACAACCCAAGGTCTCGAACGAGCAGATGAAGATGATGGGCTTGCTTTTTTTGTTGCTTGGTTTTTTTGCTTGGTTTTTGATGAACAAACACAGCCCCCAGGCATCTGAAAAAACAGCCTCCATGGCGTCCCCTTCTGTATATATATATATATAGATATATGCATATATATATATATATTCATATATATATATATAGATAGTTACTTTGTGGGTTCGCTGGTTTCTGCGGAGTTGAGAAAGGTATTTACGCTTAAACCTGGCCAGGGCAGTGCGACCAGAGAACCTCGCGCCTGGCAAAGCCACAGGCACTGGAAAACACGCCGCGAGATAAAGCGGCGCACCCATGCCGCGACGATTGAGCTCCTGAAGCCCTCATTTCAGGGCATGCGTTTCTTTTGCAGCGATGTGCGTTGTGCAGTTAGTGGATTTTTTTTTATTAAAAGAATCTGGACCACTATGTCGGAACCTTCTTGCTTGTCTGCGTCAGCCTATTTGTCGCGTCGCTTCTGAGCCGCTGCTTCCCCTCGATGTGGCGGTTGGCCCTTCCGTGCCTTTTCCGGACTGTCGGCGCGCTTTTGTGTCTGCCCCCTTGTGCAGCTTCTGCCGGTCCTCGGTGTGGCCTTGTGTGGCCTTGTGTGGCATGGTGGTCGCTTGATGCCAATATGCCCAAGGAATGCTCATGTGGATTTGTGTGCCTTATGTCATCCCCTTTGAATTACATGACGATGAACATCTGGTCCATCGTACTCAAAAAGCGAGTCACCTCAGAAAGGGAGCTGCTCAGATGGGATCGAGTCGCATTCTCCCAAACATGGGTGTGTCGCTTGTTAGGGGACCCCCAAATTGGCGCGTTGTCCTTTTCGCTTCCCTTCAAAACCGCCCAGAAAGGCATTAGAAAAAAAACGACAATCAAAAAGGAAAAGAAAAGAAAGACAGACCCACATGGCGTTTAAAGCACTTGGGAGGGTGTTCTCAAGTAAAATTCGGACGCCCCAGACAGGGAACCCCGCTGCCCGGTATCCTAAAGAGACTTGAGGAGGTTTGCAAAATGACCCGCACTGTATACAGCCCCCAATTGCAAAAAGCAAGTGATGAATCGTTTCCTTGTGTATTGCCAACCGGGCATTGGGACAAATATCTCGGCCTGAAAGGTACGACAGGAGCACAAGAGACCCGCCCCCCCCCCCCCCCCCGGTGCTGCGCAAGACGCCTAGAGGGCACCAGTAATGAGTGCATAGTGAGCTGGGTAGAATACATTTATGGGCAACAGTGTTTCGAAGTTACGGGGCGTTTCTGATAAGATGAGGGGTACCTTTCACGGACAGCAAAAATCCTTGTATCAAGTTCCTCGGGATCGCTAGTGGCTCAAGGGCGGCAGCGTCGCTCCTAGGGAGGAGCATGGTGCGAGGAGCTGCGCAGGCAGTAAGAGGCGAGAAGCCGCTGGAGTGCTCGGATTGTCGCGCGTTTCTGCAGTCAGGCTTCGAAGATGCGAAGCATCGGAATGCAACGTGGCCCTGCCTCTAAGGACATTGCCAAACAAACGTAAGCCCAACAACTTGTTTTGGACGCCCTGGCGTTGGATGCAGCATGGGCTCATTGTCGCATTGCTTGCGCCCAACTGCAGCATTCGGCATGCATTCGGTGATTGAAAGGAAGTGATCAAACTTCCGGACGGGAAGCAGTTGAACCTACGAGCTTCGAGGAGTGACCCTGGCTAAGTTATTCCGAAGCAATGCAAACGGAATGCGGTGCTCACGTGGCAGGCTTCGGCAATCACAAGGTGAAGGGCTATGGCGCTGACGCCCCGCTTGACGAGGCAGTGCCGTGAATTCATGGTTTTGCATACATTGGCATGCAGGTCTGTAGAGTTTCAACCCAAGGACGACCGGCTGTTGATGCACTTCCACAAGAGGGGCCCTCCTTTGTCACCAGTTTGGAGCCAAGTCATGCTGCTTGCTGAAGCCGACACGATTTCCTCATGTCCATCAGGCACCACAGTCCACTCCGGAGGGATGCGGGGCGTGCTGCGCTGAATTTCCAAGGGCTCAATCACGTGCCCCTGGGGCAGGTGCCTGTGACATCTTGTATATCATCGCTTGTATACTTTCTATACCCTTTGAATAAGCCCAACTTTTCAACACATTCAGTGCAAACCTCACTGTTAGCTTGTCGATTCAAGTTATTCCTGCAAGTTTGAAGATTTTGAAGCTCTATCTGCAAGTGTCCAGTTCCGTTTGCTTCACTTCCGGCATGCAGGCTGGTGCCCCAAGTCCAAACTGAATTTTGGTAGGGGCACATCCTCAGATGCACGTAATCATTATCCTTGATAGTTTAATTAGAACTTTGGAATGTGATGCTCTATTCTGAGGTGTGGAAACATCGGGGCGGCGCTTGTTTGCACAAGGCCTTTCGGGTGTCTGACTTGGTGCAGATGGCATCAGAATCCTGCAGGTGCAGGATGGTGCTGTTTTGTGATAGCGTTTGCCAGCGACGAGCCTGGCACATGCACTTAGTCGCCGCATTCACAGATTTTGGGCCAAAGGCCATGTACTGCTCTTCCTTAGGCCGCAGCACAAGATCACCTGCGAGCCGCTTGAGGCAGGAGAAGTGGCAAGGTTAATGCCTCAAATGTCTGGTCTCTTTACTTTCAAGTTTCAGGTGACAAGGTAAATGGCACAGAGGACAATTTTGCAATCCAATCGCTTGAATCCGCCTGTTCTGAGCGTGAAGGTCACTGTTAGTCACACAACTGCCCTGTTTCACCCCAACAGGGCAGCAATGCCTGCGTCGTGCTTGTAAGTATGTTGCTTATTGGTTTGGGCCTGATTGCGCAATGACATGCTGTGGGCATGGAACGGGGAAGCGGGAAGAAAAGAGGATTTGGGAAGCAGTAAGAAGGTGAATTGAGGGGAATGAGAAGCCCGGGCGGGGAGGAGACGGTGTATGAGTGTGTGTGTGTGTGCGGAGCGACAGATTAACCCTGTCGCCATTTGTAGTTTAAATCTGCAGGGGGGCGATGGTTCTTTTGGCGTGCATCGCCCAACGAAGACCGCACCATTGGAACGTGAAATCAGTCCAGGACGCTGGACTGACGTACCAGCAACTTTCGATTGGCTTTGTACATAGCGTTTTCCGTTTCTTCGTATCTTCATGATTGCCTGACCTTTTTTCGCAGCCGTTTTCAGTTGTACTCGAAAACCCACCCACTCGAGACTCATCAGTTGTACTCGAAAGATCAGCCTTCTCCCTTGGGAGTTCGAGTGTGTTCACCCCGTCTCGGGAGATCCTCGGGTGTACCCATCGTGTGACCCCGGGCCGGCTCTGCCGGAAAATTTGACCTGATCGTACTGATCATGAGACCAGCGTTTTTTTTTGTCACTTTTAAACCGAATCATTGTCTCACTAAAGGTAGCACAGCCATCAGATCATAGAACGTCTCACACTTTTGTTTTTCGTCTCCGTCGTCCGCGTGTCCGACTTCTGGTTCTTCGCCTGTGTAGGGATGGCTTCCTCTTCCTCCCGCTCTCTTCTTCCTCGTGTTCCTGACCCGCGCGTTCGTCCTCCTTCTCTTGGCCCGCTTAGGGGATGTCTTCGCGCTGTTCACCTTTCTCCTCGTCGTCTTCTTCCTGCCTGTCTACCTGTTCCTGCTCCTTGCTCTCCTCACGCTGTTTGGCTTGACGTCTTCCTCTCCTTCCGTTGCTATTTCGTGTTGGCCCCTTGCCGGATTCGACGCCCTCCTCCTTGAGCCTTGGTCTTCATCCTCTGTCTCTGTCCGGGCGGGATGCGTCGCCCTAAAAAAAGCATACTAAATCCCCCTAACCCTCTTTTCCCTTTTGTTCCCTTGTCTTCTTTTCTTCTCTTTTCTTTCCTGTCTCTTTTCCCCGGGCGGGCTGCGGCGCCCTAAATACGCATCTCGCCCCCTTTGTCTTCCTTTCTTTCTTTCTTTCTTTCTTTCTTTCTTTCTTTCTTTCCTTCCTTCCTTCCTTCTTTCTTTCTTTCTTTCTTGCTTGCTTTCTTTCTTTCATTCTTTCTTTCTTTCTTTCTTTCTTTCTTTCTTTCTCTCTTTCTCTCTTTCTTTCGTTCTCCCCCCCCCCCCCCCTTTTTGCCGTCTTTCTTATTTTTCTTTTTTTCTAATTCCCCGCTTCGTCCTGTTCTTCCTCTTCGCCCGTGGATGGCCTGATCTTCCTCTCGCTCTTCACCTTCGCGGTGCTCCCCGTCTTCGAGGTTTAGGAGGGTTTTCTGGACTGTTTGGGGTTTTTGCCCTTGTCGGTGACCCTAAACTCGGCTTCCCCTGGTTTTCGTGTTCTTGGTTGGGGTTTTGCCCGCGGAGACCCAACGTGGGGCTTTCTTTTTTTTCTTTTCTTCTTCTTCTTCTTTTTCTTGCTCCGTTTGTTTTTCGTTGGGGTCTTCGTCCGTCTTTCGGGCGCGTGTTTTTTAGGGTTGCACCTTCCGTGAAAACAGAGCTACTCGCCCCTCTTTGAGGGGCGTGTGTGTGCGGAGCGACAGATTCACCCTGTCGCCATTTTTAGTTTAAATCTGCAGGGGAGCGATGGTTCTTTTGGTGTGCATCGCCCAACGAAGACCGCACCATTGGAACGTGAAATCAGTCCAGGACGCTGGACTGACGTACCTGCAACTTTCGATTGGCTTTGTACATAACGTTTTATGGTCTGACCTTGTTTCGCAGCCGTTTTCAGTTGTACTCGAAAACCCACCCACTCGAGACTCGTCAGTTGTACTCGAAAGATCAGCCTTCTCCCTTGGGAGTTTGGGTGTGTGAGAGTGGGGGGTAGACACGGGCCAGAAGAGAGAAGGACAATGCTTAGGGGCCGTTCGGACGCGGCGTGAAGCCTGTTAGGACTTGCTGGCCAAGTTCCGCGAGGAGGATGGCAAATGGGGAGGGGATCGCTGCGATAAGATGCTTTGCAGGAACGCCTTTTCAAAGAAGTGTCCAAACCGGACACCAACAGCAATGCGAAGGAGCTCTACCTTTTGCATCTCGCAAATGATTCTCAAACTGCATGTTGAACAGGAGAAGGAGGAGGAGATGTTGTCATCAACGTTGAAGGCCAGCCAGCTGCTGTCGTGCTGGGACTGTCTTTAGCTGATTGGGGGGGGGGCTGACGCTGTTGACCAATAATTTTGCACGCCAGGACTTTTTCGAGAGGCGCAGCAAGAGAACAAAGTCGCCAGAATCAAAACCCCAGGCATGCCGAACGAGTGGTTGTTGCTTTGCCCGCATGTTGGGCGGCATGCATTCCCTGGAAGCCTTCATGTGCAGAACATGCCTGGCCGGCAGAGCGACACAGTACTTTTCGCTCGCGGGTGCAGGAGCGCAGACGACCTGATTGGCTAAATCGCAAGGCGGGAAAGGATGCAGCCATGCGTTGATTGCGCAGCAGTGTGCTAGGTGGGGGCGGCTGGCCAGCCAACTGATCAGACTCCACCTGCATCTTGGCGTCCAAGAGGGGGTGGTCCTGTATCCTACAAAAGCCGATTGTGAAGAACAGACCTTAGGTTGCAGCAACCGCACTTGACGCAAATTTGCCAGCTGAGCCGTGCAGCTGCCCCAGTACAATTTGCATGAGGTGGGTTGTTGGCATGGAAAGCGCAGGTCAAGAAGACATGCAGGATTGCTCAGACGTTGCCTTTTTGCAGGGGGGGGTGGCCGTGGAGTGCGAGACTGGCATGAACATGGCACATGTCTGTGGCAGATGTGCAATAAATACCTGCAGTTGTTGGCTCGAATCGCAGCCCATGGCGGCTGGCTTGAGCTGCACAGCTGCGTCTCGCCTTGTTTCGACTTGTTTTCCCTATTTGCGTGGCTTGCCTTCTCCTGGGTGCAGATGAATCTAAGGCATTCTCGTTTTCTGCAACTTGGCTCGTAGGGATAGTACTGGAAAAGGATTTGCTTTGCGTTGTCCTGTGTGCACTTTCGCTGACTCGTTTGGTTTGCCAACTGAGGTGTAACTTCATTTTCCTTTAGCCCGCTGGCAGCCTTTGGCTGTCATTCTATCAGCAGCTTGGTGTCAGTAGGTTTGGTTGATGCATGGTGGCATGTTTGTTAGCAGCCTAGGCACTTCTTGCAACGTCTTTTGACAGGGCCTGAGAGAGTTGCGCGTTTTTTTGCAGTGTCAATCTCTGTTTGGCAGAGGGCTGCAGTTTGTCGTGCCAAGGAAGAATGGATGCATTGTTAGGCCCGCCAGATTTGCACAGCAAGCTGCCAAGAGACCCTCCGTAGAAACAATAGGAGCTATTGCTGTGGCAGGCCGTCGAGGGGCCTGGCGATTCCTTTGCTTGCTCACAGCCGTGAACTACACTTGCACGGCATCAGCTCCGATACTTGGGCAAAAGTTGACGATGCTTTTGCTGGTGCCGTATTTGCAGCCTTGCTGAGTTTTTGCCTTCTAGGTCAGATTACCTAGTTTGCAGTTCTCTCATCAGCTTCCTCCATTCCTTTTGCAGACAAAGTGTCATCCGTTCCTTGGGCTGGGCTGAGGAGCCAAAAGTGGTGAGCTCAGGTATTTTAAACAGAGTGCTAGCTGTGTGCTGTTAGCACCTTGCGGCTGGTGTTTGCAGGCCCTTGGTGAGCGAGGGGCGCAGAGGCTTAGAGGCTTGTGGGTTGCATGCAGACAGATGTGCGAAGCAATCAAAACAAGTAAAGCTAGCTCATTTAAGTGCAACCCAAGTTCTGTTGTGCAGGTGACCCAGGATGGCAAGGTGCAGAACCAAAGGGCCATCCGAGGTGTCGAACCCCCAGCATCCACCATACCGCTTTCCAGCCTTTGAACATTGGCACGGGGCTGGTTTTCAGGACGCCAGTGCTGCCGCTGTGGACGTAACCGGCAGCGCGCATATCCTGCGCAAGTCAAGCCCGGCCGCAAACGACGACGCCGAGCTGGATGAATACGGACAGGCAGCTTAGAGCGGGCACTAGTCTTTGTTTGGCTGATCGACGCGATTTAGTACTGTTGTGCATCGGGATTGCTACCAACCAACCAGGTGCAAAAGAAACTTCCATTCAGACTCGGATGAGTTTCCAGTTCGAGTGGCATGGGAGCATGTCACTGCAGGCCGAACACTTTGCTTGTCCACTTCCGAAGTGTTCCGGGCGGGCCAGACAATCGGAGCAAAGAGAGCCCCTTACTCCGAAACGGTCATTGACAGATAGTCAGCAAGCATGCCAGCAGCAGTTTACAAGGACGTAGGCTGCCGGCTGGTAAAAACAAATGCCCGCTTCATGTCATTACCTTTGGACTGGCACCCTACTAACGGCAACATTTGGGATGCTTTGGTGGGTATCAGCGCTGGCTTTGTTAAAAACCTTGCGTACATTGGGCGATCCAGGCGATGACCAGCAGTGCTCCTGAAGAGGAAGATGACGGTACAACACAAGCAACGACTAGGTCTACCACTGCGCGCCCAGCAACGACCCAAACGCGTACTACGTCCCAAGTACCGAGCACAACTCAGTCTGGTGACGTGCCTTGGCGGATGCAAAGGTCTCTTTTTTTTTGTTTTTGTTTTTGTTTCTCTCCCCCCTCTCCGCCAAAATGACATGCGATGAGCTGTGGCTGGGCACTTTGTCTCAGCGCAGGTAAACTGCCAGTGGGAAACATGGGCCGACTGGAGTGCTTGCCAGTTTTCCTGCGGTGGAGGCCAGTCACAGAGCCATGCGCATGTCTTCTCTTGTAAGTGACTTCCTTGGCATGTGATATGCGTATCCTGCAGGACAGTCCATGCGAACCAGAAAGGTCAAGGTCATGGCACAGGGCAAGGGGGCTTCTTGGACGAATACTTTTTTGCATGACTGTTCCAGCCTCGCTCTACTTTGTACCTGAACCAGTGGGCAAGCCGAGCCGGCTTTCAGGCTGCATGCGAGAACGGTGACAAGGAGACCCGCGACTGCAACTACAATCCTTGCCCTGTGGATTGCGCCCCTCGGCTTGAAACAAGCGCATGGTGCACCCAGGGCTGTATTTGCCCGATGCTGGAGAGAGAGAGAGAGAGAGAGAGAGAGAGACAGAGAGAGAGAGAGAAAGAGAAAGAGAAAGAGAGACAGAGAGAGCGCTAGTTTTGTGCAGTGTCGTGATTTGGCATGGACCCTTGCGGAATCATGCAGTCCCACCTGCGGTCATAAGTCCTGTAGCCAGGCCTGGGACGAGTGGTCTCCCTGGGGTACATGTTCGGCAACCTGTGGAATGGGAACCAAGGCGATTCCACTCGTCAAAGCTTTTTGTGTTTCTCAGCATGTTCGACCGAAATGCCCATCTGTTGCACACATTTCAGCAAGTTTCAATATATTTCAGCCTTGCCCTTTGCTGCCGGAATGTCGTTTTGGTATTTGTTTTGTCGTTGTTTTCTGAGCAGTGCGTGGTTTTTGCTTCGCACCCGCTATTTTCCGTGCACATGTAAGCAGGTGAAGACCCGCGCGCAGAAGCGATCAGAACAATATGGAGGCGCTGGCACTGGAGAGTGGTAGGCATGAAACCACACGGATGCAAAGGTTGCTTCTTGCAAGTAGCAATGAGCTTGCATGACTCTGAGTTAGCTCAGCCAATGAAGGCTGCACCGGTGAGTTTGCAGGTCTGGCGGCAGTCTGTCCCCACCAAGAATCATTTACTCTTACCTGCGATATGTAAAAACCAGTGTCAGTATGAGCGGCAGCCTTTGACAGCTGCGAGTGGGAACGAGAATGAGCTGGCAAGTGTGGCTCCTCCCCTGCTCACCGGGCCCCGACTGTTTCATTTTTGGAGTCAATCTGGTTTTTCACTTGAGCTGGTGCTCAGGAAATGAGGAAAAGTTTCCAAGCATCTATTTAGCAATCGGCAGTTCCTTGCAAGGCAACGCCTGCTCTGGAAATTCCAGTGCAGCAGCGGAGTGCCAGGACTGAAATTTGCATTGGGTAGCAGGCTTGGCAGAATTGGGAGCTTAGCTCTGCTCGAAGGACAAGGTCTGCCCTGTCGACTGCAAATGGAGTGACTGGGGCGATTGGGAAGGCTCGGGGTAGGCAGTCAACCAGGCGGCCAGGCTGAAGGGATCCAATTTGCCAGGCTGCTCCAAGTCTTGCGGAGACGGGCAGCGGTCGAGGCCCGGAATTCGCTTGCGCGCAGTGCGGACAGATTCCGTGCCGACAGGTATCGAAGCTTTGCCCAGATAAAGAATGCAGTCGGCAAAGAGTGTAGGGGAGCCCAGCGATCAAAACACCATCACTGTTCAAGAGGTTTCGTGGCTGAGGTATTGGACAGAACCTGCAGACAGAAGGATGCGGCATGAATGCCTGTCCGGTGGACTGTGTCATGGAAGACTGGCAGCCTTGGGAACCTTGTGATGTCACCTGTGGGACAGGTGCCACTCGGAGAGCGCGCAAGGCACTGACACTTCCTGCTTTCGGTGGCGAGAAGTGTGGCTCGGTATCCGAGAACAAGACGTGTGACAATGGCGTGTGCCCCGTGCATTGCCAGCTCTCTGACTGGACGCAGTGGGCGGAATGCAGCATCAGTTGCACGAGTGATGGCACACCAGGAACAACAAAGAGGTTCCGAACAGTGGCAACGCAGAAGAATTTCCTGGGGGATGATTGTGTCGGTGAACTGGAGCAAAGCACGTCATGCAGCAAGGAGCAATGCCCCATCAATTGCGATATGTCCGACTGGTCCCAATGGTCTGATTGCAGCACCTCCTGTGGGCCAGGCGTTGTTGGGCGTCAGCGTGATATTGCCAGTGCAGCTCAATACGGTGGTGAAGAGTGCACCAACGAAACATATGAGGAAAAGTATTGCTCCAGAGATACCTGCCCTGTGGACTGCCAGTGGTCAGATTGGCAGGACTGGCATGCATGCTCTGTCTCATGTGGTACTGGAAGCAGTTATCGCATGCGTCTGATTCAGACCCCGATGCTGCATGGTGGGAGAGATTGCGAAGGTGACTATCGGCAGTCACGTGATTGTAACCCTGCTTTTTGCCCACTTCACTGTGAATGGGGCGACTGGGCCCAGTGGGGCGAATGCAGCGCATCATGTGGTGACGGTTCAGCACAGAGGGGCAGGGAAGTGAAAGTGCGAGCTGACTATGGTGGGACACCATGCGATGGAGATAGCTATGGAAGCAAGAATTGCAGCAACATGGCTTGTCCTGTAGACTGCGCGTGGTCAGACTGGGCCCCGTGGGGCACTTGCTCTTCATCGTGCGGCACTGGACTACAGGCTCGCAAGAGAGAGAACTCCGAAGCCCGGAATGGGGGAGCGGATTGCTATGGAAATGCGACCGAGTCCACTTCATGCGTGGATCTTCCTCCATGTCCAGTGGACTGCGAGTGGGATGATTGGACCCAGTGGGCGGGCTGCACGGTCTCCTGTGGCGCGGGATTTCAAAGAAGGAGCAGAATTCGGAAGCTCTACGAAAAAGACGGAGGCCATACCTGCTTTGGAACAGAAGATGATGAACAGGTAGCTTGGCTGTCCAGTAAAATTTGTTTATTCTTGCAGGTATTTGTATTGTGTTTTGCTGGTTTGTAGACAGAGGTGCTACATGTTGCGTGTGTGTACGTTGGACGATGTCCCGTGTGCAAGCATCAGGTTTGCAATCTGGATCCATGCCCCGTGGATTGTGCTCTTGGCGATTGGACGCGGTGGTCGGACTGCTCGGTCTCCTGTGGCCCAGCTGGCCAGCAAACAAGGTCTCGTGCCATTGTGCGGCACGGCTCCCTTGGGGGTGTCCCATGCAACACCAGCAATCTCACCGCATCAACAAAATGCGAGGATGTGCCCTGTCCCGTCCACTGCGAGTGGGCAACTTGGGGTCAGTGGAGCAAGTGCTCGAAGGAGTGCAATGGCGGCCTCACATCTCGGCAAAGGTCGGAGAACATTTCAGCAGCCCACGGGGGACGAAAGTGCGAAGGATCAGCGGCCGAGGACTGTAAATCGTCCAAATTGAGTGTGTCCAGTTGTCTCGCAGGATGTGGTTTTGGCCCAGTTGAATTAATTAGATTGATATTCTTTAAATCGGAATATAAATTATCGCTAATTTCAGATACATATGTTGTATGTATCTGTATTGGAGATCGATAAATTTTAGGTACCATTTAAACCAATTAATAGACAGAATTAATTGATCCAATTGAACCAATTGAAGCAGATAAATTAATCCATTTCTGACACTGGCGGGAGGGGGGCATGAGCTTGTGCTCCTGGCAGGAGATGGTATGCAATCCTCACGGCTGCCCCGTGGACTGCAAGTTTGAAGACTGGGCAGAGTGGGGCGGATGCTCCAAAAGCTGTGGCTCCGGAAACAGGACAGATTGGCAGTGTGTGCGTGTGGGCTTGTTTGTTTGTGTGTTGATTGTTTGAATGTCTGTTTTTGCTTGTATGTTTGTATGTCTGTTTGTTTGTTTGTCTGTCTGTCTGTTTGTTTGCTTGCTTGCTTGTTTGTTTGTTTGTTTGTTTGTTTGTTTGTTTGTTGTCTGTCCGTCCGCCCCGCTGTCGGTCGGTCCGCCCGTCGGTCCGTCCCTGCGTCGGTCTGTCTGTCTGCGACACTGTCTGTCTGTTTGTGTGTCTGTTTGTGTGTGTGTGTGTGTGTGTGTGTTTGTTTGTTTGTTTGTTTGTTTGATTGATTGATTGATTGATTGTTTGTTTGTCTTTGTGTGCGTGCTGCGTTGAATTTCTGATCGTCGCTGAGACTTGGGTGCAGGACTGCTGGTCGTGTGCTCATTACTCCAGCCCAATGGGGTGGTACACCGTGTGATGGTGGAATTGAGAAGATGGAGCTTTGTAATGAACAGCCGTGCCCGCTGGACTGCACGTGGAGCGACTGGTCCCATCTCTCGCTTTGCTCGCAGACGTGCGGTGGCGGAGTTATGACAAGGACCAGGTCACCGAATTCCGAAATGTACGGCGGGAAGGCTTGCATCGGCCATGAGCTCGAATCTGTGCCATGCAACACCCAAGGCTGCGCACAGGACTGTCAGTGGGCCCAATGGACGGAGTGGACGGGCTGCTCGAAAGAGTGTGGCGGCGGATCCATCAAGCGCGTCCGTGACGTGCTGGTGAAAAGGGCCTTTGGCGGCGAGCCCTGCATTGGCCCGGGCGTGGAGGAGGCCGGCTGCAACTTTGACGTGTGCCCCACGCACTGCAAGTGGAGTGACTGGGAGCAGTGGAGCCCGTGCCCTGCCAGCTGCAACGGCGGCACGCGTTCGAAGAGCCGCACCCGGGTGACGGAAGCGGCCAACGGGGGCAAGGCTTGTGAGGGAAACCGCACCGAGGTGGCGAAGTGCAACACGGACCCCTGCCCCGTGGACTGCAGCTTCGAGCTGTGGCAGGAGTGGGGCGACTGCTCCGCTTCCTGCGGCCAGGGCACGCGCTTCCGCACTCGGGTGAAGAAGGCGGAGCTCTACGGTGGTGCGGCTTGCCAAGACCTCATGTGGGAGGTCGGCCAGTGCAGCAATCCGGATGAAGTGAACTGCCCGTCCTCCACAAGCACCACGACCACTGTCGCAGCCTCAGGTTGCGGATTCTTCTTTTGGGTCCGCCCTGTTGCGGGCTTGTCACGAAAGCTGGGTACTGTATTGATTCTTGAAATGAATCCGTTGGATCATTAATTCCGTCCAGCCTTTGTTGCCGATCCAAGTGCTGGGTTGCTGCTTTCTCAGCACAGTTGCACTCTTTTCTGTGCACTTTTCCCTTTTGCGCTCATTCCTTCACATTAACTTCTTGTTTTCTGCCTGTCCTGGCCTCTCTCCTTGCTTTCTTGCTCGCTCGACTCGTTGCCACCCTCTTCTCGCCGCTCTTTTTGTGGCTCTGCTCCCCCCTTCGCTTCGGCCGTGCTTGCATTCGTTCCTCTTCTCAAATACTTGCTTTGCATTATGCAAGGGACAGCCAAAGCGGTCATGCCTGTAGCAAACCGCTCGCCCAGTTGGCCCTCCTGAAGCTGCCAGAGGGCCAATTGGCCTGGAGTCACCTTCACAATGTTTGGGAGCCACAGGCCTGTCGCGAGCTGTGTGGCTTTGGTTGTGGCTATGCGCTGCCGTTTGCGCAGGCAAGTCGTGGAACATTGGGAATTCCTTCGCCAGAAGAGCTCACAAAGACTTTTTCTGAGAGCAGCTTGGCGAACGGTCAGGTTGGATGAGGCATTGCTGAAGGTAACAGTGGACGATTAGCCACGGTCTTGCACCATGGTGCATTAGACCTTGCGCCTTTGCGCAACCATGCAACATTTATGAAGACACAAGTTGAAGAGGCAGGAGTCAGGAGTGCTGAGTGGGCGCAACGCTCTCGAACTGAGGTAAAAATCCAAGCTATCCGGGGAAGGCTTACAAGCCTGTGATACCTTGCCCAGATGATGATATGAACAAAACGTCGCATGGCTGAATTTCGAAGCAAACTCAGCCTAAAACCTTTGTTGTTGCATGCGAAAAGGCTGGAAGCCTACGAGACGATCAAGTCGAAGCCAGACGCGGTGGTGGCCCTAATGAGCACCGGCATTTTTTGCTGGAGGCATGTGCCAACCTCGCCTCAAAGTAAATAAACCAACAACAAATGCATGCATCGGCACCCAATTGAGTTTGCGTATTTGCAACGTAGCGCTTCTTTATTAGGCAATGCCTGCGGACATCTGAGGCCAGTCGTTTGAATATATCGGAGGCGGTAGCTGTAAAGGCTATTGACGATATCATTGCCAACCTCACGGGAAAGGCCGGGGCCTGTTGAACTTGTTGGGGCCCTGGCTTTGCCTTGTGTGATTGCCCGTGCTTGTATTGCGTGCCAGGCCCCGCCAGGATCCAAGGAGATTGCAGACCGCATCGCGCAAGCGGCTCCTGGACTGCAACATGATTGCCACATGACATCTCCGTTCCGGGCTGGACGGCACTGTCTTGAGGGCATCGGCGCCAACACAGACGTGGCGGAGATGCGCAACCTTACTGGTTCAGACTTGCCGTTCGGGAAAGCAGCGGACAACATCTCAGAGCTGGCAAAGACAGCGGGAGCTGCACCCGACACACCGGCAACGATGCTGAGCCTGCATGTTGCGCATGTGCAATTTGGTGAGAACGCTTTTTTTTTGCAAATTTTGCGTTGGCTTTGCCACTTTGCCTGCAGCTCCAACCATCAAAGGAAGAACTTCACTGACGCTTTCGAAAGTCGCCCAGACAAGCAGAAGGACACTTTCTAAGCAGACTGTCGGAGGGATGTGATGCGCGCCACAGCTTTGAAACGAGCCAGGACGGCCGGGATGTTGTAGCAGAAGTGGCGGGAGACCTTGGGTTGGACGTCATGGAAGCAGATGAATTTGCAGGAAGCTTAGTAATACAGTCAAAGTCGCCATTTCGCCAATTCTGCTGTATTGAATCGTGGAGTCCGAGGTTGGGAATCCCAATGTGTCAGCCTCCTGCTTGCAATGTTTGGCTCAGGGTCCGCATGTTGCTGTTGAAACCCAGCTGGCTGAAAGGTCATCATGGAGAAAGCCATTGCGAGTTTATGTGGTGCTTTGCCGGCAGACGTCAAGGTTGACGTTACCATCCCCCAGGCATGTAAAATCCTTGCTGTGCTTGGAAGGTGTGTTGATGCAGATGCTGCGAACCATGCTCATCAGGCCATGCTCCTCTCGCAAGTGCAGAAGAGGTTGAAAGGAAATGCAGCTTGGCCATCTTGAGAACTAAGCACCGTGGAAACTGACAGCAAACCCGAAACTGAAGCTCAATGGGCCAATAGCCCTTGACTGCGTCACAGCGGCCCCAGGTCAATGTGGCATATATGGTTGAGGTGTACAAGCAAGACGCCAGTAAAGGCCAAGCTACGAAGTTGGCTTCACAGATATCCAACTCGGACTGGGCATCTGCAGTTCATCATCTGCTACGCATGTCGGCATTGGTTGCATCTTCTTCTTGAAGTGTCCCGTTGCAGGACATCAACACCGTTACGTCCGAAGTCAGGAGACAGGCGGAAATGAAGCTCCACTGTGACAGGATTGTCCATGTTTTTGGTAGGTAGCTGCTGTGGGCCTGACCTTTACCCTGAGAGCCTGGCTCCAAGTTCATGGCTGGCTCCGATGAAGCCACGGTGTCATGAGGCGGTCAGCTTGAGTGTCACAGTTCTGCCGGTCACCACTGATGGCAACATTGATGTAACGACTGGCCAGGGCCCTGCGACCATGTCCCATGCTTTGGAGAGATGCGTTCTTGACCAGGTGAGGATGGGAATGCTTCCGTCGAGGATGGGCTAGCATTTGCAGCGCGGGCTTTGCTCCCACGCTTGCAGGATGCCATGCCGACAGCAGTGGTGGACGGCAAAGCGAAGGCTTGGCTTGCACAAGTTGCTGTTGGCTAACTCGCGCTTGGGCAGAGGCACCTAAAGATGCCAATGCCATGGTGGAGACTGCACAGAAGCAGTCGAAGGCTTGTATATGGCGATTGCGGGATTGAGCTGCGCTGGATGCACATGCAGAGCGCAGGCCACTGCAAGGCTTCACCACCAGTCAGCTCAGGTGGCCAAGATTTGTCACTTTTCCCAACGTGTTTGCTGAGCTTTTGAAGTGCCTATGTCAGGTGACAGTGAAGAAGGATCAAGATGAGGTGCCAGGCAGCTTGCGCCAAGTAAGGCATTTGCCACACAGTTTGAGCTGCATCTTGTTTTAGGCAGCCAGCCTGCCCAAAAGTCTGGCGCCGGCGGACGCATCATGGCAGCTGCTATTCTTGCCAGTGTCTCTTGGATGCGATGACCTATTCCCGACGTGCAAACATGAGGGGGTGCAAACATTGTTTCAAGACATCGCACTCCACAGAGTCAGCCTGCTCGGTCTTTGATGAGGCGTTCAACCTCATTTTCTGCGTTGCTGTGTGAGCGAATGAACTGGTGCGAATGCGAATGCAGCTGGTTTGTCAGGATGAAGTGTAGCCGGCTAGCCCGCGGTGAGAATTGTCACAGTGTAGGCGTTGCATTGCGAGTGGATAAAATTGAGCAACCTTGCCACCAGTGCTGAGGAAGCAAAGACAGTGCCTTGGACGTATTGCTTATCTTGCCGTGTGTAAGACTAAGGTGTTCCACTGATTGCCTCACCCTCTACGGCACGCAGGCCACCGCTTTTGTACGAGCCGTGCAGCTATGCAGACGGCGATGAACCAGTGCGAAGTGTTTGTAGGCCACGGTTGATATGCCACGCATCGTGCTGGGCACTGGCGGTCAAGAAGGTCTTCATGGACGAGAGGGCAGGGTGCCATCCTCAGTATTGCCTGGTTTGGTCAACGTCGATGTTTGTTTCTTCTTTGGTTTGATCTAAGGCTGCGATGCTTGCCGCACTGAAGATGGGATATCGAGGTATTGACACATCAGAGATGAACAGGACAGACGTGTTCCCTTTGCTTTGTCTAGTCGTGGTTTTCCTGCTGGCTGCGCATGCTGACAAGTTTTGTGACATCTGAGATTCCCTTTTTGCGGACGAAACACTACTGTATGTTTCGTTCAGTTTCTCACAAAGACGGCTACAAGTTTACTTTTCTGGGGCCAGGTGCTGCTGCGTGCGGGTGATGGTGCAGGGTGCTGGTGCCGGATTCTAGTGCAAGGTGGTTTCCAGTTGCTGTGCTGCTGCAGGGTGCCGCCACAGGGTTTTGCGACGGTTCTGGGCCCAAACTTTTGTAGCCTGTGAAGAACGTTTGTTTCAACCATGTATGCCAAAAGATGTTTCGAACGCAATTCGAATGAGATAGAGAGATGGAGCACGTTTATGCCAAGCACAACTGGCTTTGCCGCAGCCGCAAGCTGCAATTTTGCAACACAGCAGCCTCTACGGTGGAAGTCTTCGTGCCAAACGCACACGGAACATGAGTGAGTTGTGATTCCAGGAATCTGTTGGATGTTCGCTGGGCCTGCTGCTTGCCTGCACATGAGTTTATCAAGCTCTTAGAGGACTTGGCCCTTGGTTTCGGGCTCCGAATCTTAGGCTCGGGGGCAGGTTGTTTTTCATACTTGGGACAAGATCGGTGCATAGGGGCTCATTTCACAGGCCTTTTCCTGTTACACATCATTTCGCCCATTGCGTACATGCCGCATGCATGTTGGCAGGGCTGTCGGCAGTTTCGATTTGCTGCGAGCTTTCAAGAAGTAAATCGCATTGTGAGAGCCAAGCATCATTTGTAGTCCGCAAGTCCTTGAAGAAGAGGCGAGCGTCCTTTTGATCGCACAAACAATCAACTTGAAACATCAAAGCGATCATCAAAAGGAAACCTTGCAAGACATGTGAGGACCTCCCACTTGTCCGTATCAGCCATGTGCATTGGCACATTTTTTTCGGTTTTCAGGTGAAGAGTCTGGCATCGAGAGGAACGAGTTGTTCATCATTGTGAAGATCCCGCCGTGGAACCATGGCCCGGCACACAAAGTGAGGGTTGCAGGGTTAGAAAGATGGCCATAGCCGGTGAGCTTGGGGACAGGCTACGAAGCTGCAAAGAGGTCGCTGGACAGGTGCCACATGCCGAGATGCGCTTTCACAAAAGCTTGCGACTGTGAGGCAGCTGAATTTGTTGAAGCTGAGTCACGCACCTCCCTGGACACCAGGGAAGCAGAGAGTGATAGCCGTTTCTGATCGAGGCAGACTTGCTTCTGGTGCAATGGCCGCCGCCTCAATGTCAAACAAGCACTCCCATATATTTTCCCATGCCGATTCGCGAGGCCGCACGTGTGGCTTCCAGAGCAACAGACTTGGGGTCCTATGCAGTGGAGAAGGCCTCTGGGTTGCTGGCCAGCTTGCCGGTTGGCACTTTTGTTTGGCAATGCGGAACGCAGCCTTTCCCACCAAGAAAAAGGAAGCGAAGCAGGGGCAAAAGACAAGTGACGGCAACACCTTACAAGAAGTTTTAGTTCTGGAGTGCCCTTTCCTCCAGCAAAGAGAGTGCGATTTTTTGATCCGTTCTTTTCCTTACCCTGTTCCTTGCGATAGTTGGCAGATGCAATGGCTTGACGGCGTGGAGCGGGGGAATGCCCAATGCCCAAGCCGGGCGAAACCAAAGTCACGGCGCAGACCGGCACCCCTTCCGGAACGCCGGGCACGCCGGGAACGCCGGGAGCAAATGGCCTCATCCTAGCGCAGGTGCAGGCCTGCCAGCGGAGGGTTGCGGAGCTGCGGGGCAGCCTCGCGCTCCTAGCTGAGCGTTGTGGCAGCCTGGAAGAAGTGCACGAGGGCGCCAAGGAGAAGCTCCGAGCTTTTGGCTCCTCAAAAACCACAGCGAACAGCCCAGAGCAGCTGAAGAAGCAATCTGCGGCCAGGGTGCGTGGCCTGCAGGGCCGGCACAGTGAGTTAATGATTTCCTTGCAGCAGGTTCTCGCCGGCGCGGATACTTGGGACACACTCAAGCAACATGCAGAGGTTAAGCTTCCAAGCGATGCTGTCAAAGAATCTGATGGACCATTCCAGCCCGTTGTGGAGACTGGGAGCCAGCCCGACAACTCCGCGGTGAAGGTGATGCAAATGGATGGGCCTGCGGCGAAGCTGAGCTCTAGGCTCCGCTGCTTGGCAGGCACACCTTCACATGAGCCCCGTGCTTTGATCAGAAAAGGTTTATTAAACAAAATGGAGCCGCATGCAGGTTGCGGAAGCAGTCGGTATAAGCCTTGGCTTGCGTAGGCTTGTGTGCGTGGGATGTCGCATTGTCCATCGCGTGCTTTCACAAAACATGGTTCAATACTGTTTGCCACGTATCATCAATTTCGCTTGTTTTGCCATGCTTCTTTCTTTCTTTCTTTCTGCAATTTTGGAATAGTCTCCGCGTGAGGGCGTCCGCGTAGGGTTTAAAGGCATGTTTAATGCGGTTGGGTGCCCTAAATTTTGCAAGTAAGGAAGCAAGACAGCCCTCTAATCTACTGTAATTTACCATGGTTCGCGGTGGAGTATGGTTGGTTTACTTGCAGTATTCCGCATCCACCGTACCTGGACCTTTTCCTACAGCCGATTCCTTGGACATATTCTTGTTGAATCTCACTTGCATTGAACCGGCGATCTTCGAGCTGGGGCTGCCAAAGCGTGCTTCGCCAAGATGTACTTTGCGTAGCACGCTGAATTGAACATCCGCTCGCGTAGGCGTCCGCTTAGGCATTGCAAGGTGACTCGTGCTAGCGTAGGCACCTCCGTAAAACATTGTTCACCTTGGTCCAGCAGTCGTATATGTTTGGCCAGATCTGCGGCATGAGGCTTTCACGACATCCAGGCCAAGTCTGCACCTGGGAAGGAGGGCTTCAAAGGTCGACCATACCCTCGCTGCTTTCCAGGTGCGGAGCCTTGCAACACAATGCCCAAAGCGGCACCGCAGGACGCCGATCTGCCAAAGCACAGGGATCGCGTGGAAGAGATTCGACGAAGAGCAGCTGAGATCGAGAGCAGGCGTCACCAGCCTTCAGTTGCACCACCTGCAACACCTGCAACACCTCCAGTGTGGCAAGCTGATTCATCGCGTTCTCCCATCAGTGATGTGTGGGCAAGGTTCCACCCCTCACGAGGTGGGGGGCCATTACCATGGGCCGTAGATGTCGCGCACCAGAGCCAACCTCTAGAAAGCCAAGAGCCATTGGCAGAGCCGTTGGCGGAGCCGCTGGCGGAGCCGCTGGCGGAGCCTTTGACGGGGCGCAATGAGCGCAATGAGCCTTTTGCCCCAGCTGTTTGGAGCGCAGCTGGGCAAGCAAGCGCGCATCCACTTGGCTGTCAAAGCCAATCACTCGGCCCCTCCTTGCATCCTCTACCTCAGCCACCAGGTGGCGTGCTTGGACCCCCGCCATTTGGACTTTGTTTGCCTGGCCCGCACGTACAGGCACACTTCCCACCTGCGGTCTTGCCACCTTGGAACCTGCAAGAGACAATGACAATGCATCAGTACCCTTCGCAGTCCACAATGCCTTGGCAGAAGTTGCCTCTCTGATGATGCAATGCACAGCTTGGGCGTGTGCCACCTGTTTGGGGTTGTGGCGCTGCTGCCCGCCAGAGCAGCTGCCAGAACAGCTTGCAGCCAATGCTTTGCAATTCACGGACAAAAAAAAACAGCAGGGCTTGCACCCGGGCATTTGTTACGGACGTTTCTGCGCCAGTTTTGAATTCATTCGCAACCCCGCAGGGTTGAAGAGTGGAAAGCTGCTCAGCTCAAAGGCACATGGGCTGCCCTGGAAGAGCCGGCGACTTAGTCCAGGCTTGTTGAATGGTGATGCATTGCATCCCAGGCTGCACAAGTCTGGGAGGGCTCGAGCGATTGGCGCCAGCAACTACTCCGTAGACCACCTGGAGGCAGACAGTTGCGTGCCCCTGACCTTTGCGGGCCCTTGAAAGCCCCTTGCGGCCCAGGCCTTGCTCCAGCACTGCGTTGTGTGAAGCCCAGTCACGGGAGGCTTGGCCTGGCATCGTAGCACCGCGTGCTGAGGTTCCACCCATGGTCGTGCAGGGCGAGTCAAACCCCCACTGGACCAACAGGAGTTGCTTGGAGTGTATTGGATTTCGGCGCAAGCTGCCGTGCAGGCCTCTTCGAGATTGGTGCAGGAAGCATGGTATTGCGTTCCAAGGCCGGCACCTGGCAACAAGACAATGCCCAAACTTGCTTGCGCTTGCTCAGGCTATGCCCCCTTTGGCGGCCAAAAAACAGATGTCAATGCAGGCCACAGGGCCGTGGATGAAGCTTGGCCAAAGGTATATGATCGTGGACTGCGACAGAAAAGTTCCAATGCGCAAGATTCATGCATGGATTCTGCAGGAAGACGTGGTGAAGGCAGCCAGTGGCGCAGAGTCGAGCCATGAGGCTCCACAGATCTCGGGCTCACTGAGGTGGCTGAGCGCCATGCGATGTCCCCCTTTGCGGTGCCATGCTCGGCAACTGCACGTCGCCGCGTATCACAACGGAGCCGCTGTGGCGTTTGCGTACTCAATTGGCCCTTGGGATCCCGCTCAAGTCAAAAGCAGACCACGAAATGCACCCCCCCATTTTGGGGCCCCCATTTTGGGGCTGCTAGACTTCTCCTTGGTTTTGCATCTGCGATGAAATGCAGATGCAACGACATGGGGTTACTTCAGACCAAGCTGGCTGCTTCTCATTGTTCAGGGTGGTGTTGGTCAGGGGCTAAGCCACTCCAGTCTGAGGTGAGTGTGTCGCTCCCGAACGCTGGGAGTTGCGTCGGAACGCTGATTAAAAATCGCTTCGGAACGCCGGAAAACGTACTAATCGCTTAGGAACGCTGAAAGCGCAGCCGCATGCCACGCGCTGCACCGAGACACTGGCGAGTGCTTCGCTTTTGAACGCTCGTCCACGCGCTTTCATAGCAGCTTGCAGAGCCTGGCGTTTGGCATGTGCAGAGACTTGCCCTCATTGGAGCTCAGTTGAGCGGGTGTGCTTATCACGCCCCCACCACCCCCAAAACAAATGGATTGGATTTTGCACACCTTGGCTGGGATGAAGCAGTTCAGCGGGTGCTTATCAGGCCCCCCCCCCACCCCACCTGGTCATCCCCCCCCCGAGAACAAATCAAATTGATTTGATTTTGCACACCCTTGCTGGGATGAATCAAGTTCACCGGTTGTGCTTGTCATGCCACCCCCACCCCACCCCTCCACCCCCGAACCAGATGAATTTGCACATTCGGTTGCAGAGCAGGCTGGGCTGGTTCAGTTGAGCGGGTGTGCTTACCATCCCGCCCCCCCGCAAAACAAATTGATTGGATTTTGCACACCTTGGCTGGGATGAAGCAGTTCAGCGGGTGCTTATCAGGCCCCCCCCCCACCCCACCTGGTCATCCCCCCCCCGAGAACAAATCAAATTGATTTGATTTTGCACACCCTTGCTGGGATGAATCAAGTTCACCGGTTGTGCTTGTCATGCCACCCCCACCCCACCCCCCACCCCCAGAACCAGATGAATTTGCACATTCGGTTACAGAGCAGGCTGGGCTGGTTCAGTGGAGCGGGTGTGCTTACCATCCCCCAGAACCACTCGATTTTGCACACCTTGATGCCTGCCTGCGTTCGGAAGTTATCATGTTTACATGACCGGGTTTTGCAACCCTTTCGGCGTTTTGAGTGCTCAGTGTTCTGAAGTGATTTTTTTGAGCGTACGGAAGTGATCGAAAGTGGCAGCGTTCAGAAGTGTTTTTTTTGCTAGCGTTCGGTCGTGATTGTCTACCACAGTCGGACCAAAACTCAACGACAACTAAACCACCTTGAGCCCACGAAACCAAGCAGCCACCACTACACCAACCCTGAACATGCTCTCTACCAACCCTAAGCTTCCTGGCGAACGGAACGTGGCGACATCGGCTGAGGTGTGCATGCAATGGAATCAAAGTCGGAATTCCAGCACGGTCGTAAAGCCTGGGGCCCAGAGCTCACAGTGGCTCACAGTGCACCGCGCATGAAAGACTTTGCTAGACTGCTTTTGCTCAAGGTCAAAGCAAATCGCCCATTTACGTGCGGACCATAGCGCAGCACAAGCTAGGCATAGCTAGGCTATTGCGCAGCCAGCCAGGCTCGAACCTCAACGCTTGCAAGGGGGCATTCTGCTCGCCAAAAGACCTGGGACGTGACTTGGCTACCGAAGACGTGGCTGGGTGCACTCCTCCCTTGATCCCAGGTATTGACGGCAATGCGGACACACTCAAAAAGCTTGGGCCTCAGTGCTGACGACAGTAAACGGGCGACATCAAAGCGAGAGAGAGGGAGAGAGAGCCAGGTATGGGCCGTGCTATTGGGGCTTCAACGATATGGATGGCATGCATCCATGGAAGGCAGGAAGGGCAAAGTTCGGCCTACCGACATGCACGGTGCAACCGCTGCTTTCAGTGCGTTGCGGTCAGGATGAAGAGGCACGTGTTGAGAATCCTTTGGGCAGCCCTCTCAAGCCAATTGTTGCACGTACGGTTGCCAGAAGCTCCTCGAATCGATGCTTCCTGGAAAAGCGAAGAGTCCGGAGGCGCGACTGTTGATCAGTTGCGCTGTTTGTTGATATTGCCTCTCTGCTGCTTATGCAGAACCCCACATGTTTCCAAGCCAGTTTGATAGTGTTGCCAGTGGCGCCAGTAGGATCCCAGCGGTTTCTAGCTTTGCACGGGTTTCGCGATCGCTCGATCCGGGCTCCATACATTCAAACCTATCTAACCAGACTACTCCACGGATTTGGTTCTGATTGCCAGAAGCTACCCCTTGCTCCAAATACCTTTTGTTTGTCGAGGTAGTTTTTTACTGAAGAGCAAGGCTTGCCATGGTAAAAGTGGGTTCTGGGCGAGCAATTACGGGGATGCTAGGGCCTAAATATAACAAATCAGCATGTCGTTGGGATCCTCAATTCAAATGCTTGTGGACTGACTCCTCCGTTTCCTCAAAAACAACCACCATGTCCCTGGGGTTCACCGTCAACACAATGGCAGTTTATGCAACTAACCACCATTGAAGGAGTTTCATGTGAACCTAGCCTCATGATTTCACCATTGTCAAATTCATGCCGCCAAGCGGTGGGCTACAGGGAAACAACCCCAGCTGACTTCACAAACACCATAAAAACTGGGCTCGCCGTTTCTGATCCACTAATTTTCAGTGGATAAAATGGAAACCGACTCAACACAACTGAACACCCAAGGAAACACGGAACCACAACCACTCCCTCAAAACCTGAAAACCTAAGGGGGCGGGCACCGTTAAGTACACGGGGCACCACTATGTAATGGGCTTCCGAGCGCCACAATATCGCGAGGGTTCGCAGCGTGTGGCAATCATGTGGGCCAGTCTTCAGTCATCAGCGGCACATGCGGGCAAAACAAGGGTCAAACAGCACAGTAGCCTTTTTTCCCGAAGCCTGTTACCCGCTAGATGTGTCCAGGTGTTGCACACATGACACCAGGGAGACCTGACATTTATTGGAGTTGATTTGGGTTTGGGCTTGTGTGGTTAACATTGCATGAATTGTTGGCATTGCGGTGGCCGGAGGAGATCAAGAAGGAGTGCTGGCAGCTCAAAAGGCTTCTAGATAGGTGCCACGTGACTGACCAGCTTGCTGCAAGGTTGGGAGCCGCGTTTGCCAGAAGGGTCAGTGATTGGAGGATTGACTGCTTCATGAGTTGCTTAGCGTGCACAAAAAGGCCATCAGATAGCGTGTTTGGCACCAATGTTTGCCATGCAATGCGAGTGTTGTTTGCGGAGCTTACTGGCGGATGCTGTAGTACGAATTTGTGAATTCCTTGCGCACGGCCACTTTAAGATAAGAGCTTTGTACAGTTGTCCGCTCTGCAGGCAAGTCGAACTGACCCTTTGTCCGCTTGTTTCAGACATGACTCGAGTGGAGCCGCAGCTTGCGAGCGGTCGAGTTGCCTGTGGCCTTGGGCCGGTGATTTTCGCACTTGGCGGGTCACGGAGAAGCGCTCCCCGGATGCGTCGGCTTCTGGATCACAAAATGGCAAGTTGCCAGCCCTCCACCCTTCGACGCTCTTCAACTCTGGCATGTAATACAGTGTTGGGGGGGATTCGATTGCAAGAATCATGCCATCAACAGTTGTAGAGTGCTGGTTTGGCGTGGATGCATGCCGCAGTCTTTTCTTTAGGGCCTGCGTGGCCCGTCGGCTGGCCCTGCCGGCGTCGCTGGCTCAGATTGGATGATGTGCCAAGTTACCTAAGCTTGCCTTCAAGCTAAAGCAGTAGGTTTCAACGCAATGAGCGAGATCGCCCCCATGGATGCGGTGGGCAAGGCATCAGTCAAGAACCCCGAAGATCGTTGTTCACAGCACAAAGAATCTTGCCATTTTTTACTTATTAATGTGCTGAGTCGCATTGCATTCTGTAAATATTAGATACTAGTAGGTCCTTCAGCGCAAGTGTTTGGCTGCGGGAGGTGGAGGCACTTACTTACACACCGAGCCCCTTCATGAAAGCAGCGGCCGCTTGCTTGCAGCAAATGCTTGTTTCGGTCACGCAACGTCTCACGTATGTTTCTGAGGCGCAGATCATCGAGGCCAGGGGGCGGCCGTCGTGGCTTTGCTATGAGTGAAATCCAGCATTGCAGGCATCAGAAGGCCATGTGCCGGATGACCTGTGGTTGCCTTACCGAAAGTGCGGATTCGGCTTTTGGGTCAGCGACCACATGAGGCATTGGGACCCATTGACGATGAGCTACGGCAGCCGACTCAGCATGGCATCGGACATGTTGGAAAGCCACACACGGCAGATTCCAAGGGGATATCATTCCCACTGCCAGGCGGTGGTCCTGGGCTGCAGGGTGATGCCATCGAGTTGCCCACCGAATTGATGATGTGCCTTGGCCGCGTTGGGAGCGCTTCGCGTGCACACGCTGACGCTAGGAACCTGGTTGGGCCTGGGCTAGCTGCTGTGCGAGCAAAGCCAAACCCTGCCAGCCACCCAACCTGTCGGCGCAGTCGGCGCTTACGTCAGCCCCTGACTTTCCAGGAGCCACCGTTGGCTCCCTCGCAAGAGCGAGCAAGGACACGGATCGGGTTTTCAGAGCTCAAAACGGGGCACAGGAGGAACTTTTGCACGAACCCAGGCCGTTGATTGATCAGGGTCTGCGTCGCATGCCATGTTCAGGAAGCGCTTGCAGATGCGCAAGGACTGCTGCCACCTTGTGCCGTCCGTGTCTGTGTGTGTGTGGTCAGTGATTTCTTGACCGGGTTGGTTTGTTGCCTGGCTTGCTTGTAGGTTGGCAGGCAGCTTGTTGACGGCGTATCAGCCAGTCATCAGGGTTTGGCAGTTTGCTCGCGGTGTTGGGCAGATGGCACGGCTGAGATGCCTGGTCAGGAGGCTGCTGAAAGAGCGGCTGCTGAGAAGGCTGTGCGACTCCCAGGGAGGATGCAGGGAGACTGTTTAGGGCATCGACTTGGTGGTATGGCCGCCGCGTGGCGGTGGCGGTGGTGGTGCTGGTGGTGATTATTGTCAGCGTGTGGCCGCTGTGGTCATCCTCGCAAAAGTGTTGTCTGGCAGCTTTGCAGTGAGGCCGTGCGACAGCGACTTGTCATGCTTTGTCTACATTGGAATAACATCATGTGGTCGCAGGTGATCTGCAACAGATGTGCGGTTCAGATGAATCTAGCCTGTTGACATGACACATGCACTCGGGCAAAAGTCTTAGGTAACTTTAGGTATCTTGTGTGAAACGCAGGAGTGATTGCAGTTCCGTGCTCCCACCATTGGTCCTTGAAGTGCCTTGATGATTTCTGAGGCACTGCAGGAGAAGCAGGCCGGGATGTGCAGTGCTAGAGCCCCCGTGCTTTCCTGCTTGTGGGGGGAAGGAGGAGGAGGAGCCCTTGGACGAATCCTGGATCGACCAGATGGAACAGCCGCTTGGTGGCAAGTATGGCATTCCAGATTCCTTGTTGAATGTGGTGGTATGGTGCATGCAGGAAAGATGCAAAAAAGAAGGCAGGCTCACCCTGACGTGTGGTGTACCGCACATCGGTTTGCACAACCATGTGTGGCAGGCAAATAGGGAAAAGGCGGTTCAAATCAGGAAAGAGCGCAAGAAGGCATGGTTTGCACCTGCTTTCAAGCCTTTGTGGTGATACCTGCCTGCTCGCGCCGCTACTGGCTGGTTAAAAGATGCAACGTTTGCACGAGGCGCGAAAGGCAGATGCTGCAGCCAAGCAGGACGGGTAACTCAATGAATTCTTGGTGTCGTGGTCGTGCATCGCTGTGTTCTAGGAGGCATTGGACTTTCAAGAGGATGCGGAGGAGCAGGCACGTGCACAGGTGACGTGGCTGGCTGCTCATGTTCTGATTCATGTGTATACCAGGTGGAGCAAGAGCTGCCAGCGGGGAGCCTCGCAGATGGGGTTCATCTAGCGGCATGCACTTGGTCTCAATCAGGTAGAGCCGCCTGAGCCTGAACCTGCGGAAGCTGAGGAGGAGCCGCAACTGTCCTGTTAGCAGTTTGCATCTGAGCTTGGGGCATTTGGCCAGCCAATGCGTGAGTCAAGTGCGTGCTTCAGGAGGAGGACGATGATGATATGCAGCTGGTGGAGCTATCCAAGCAGCGGCGCAAGCGGCAAGCCAAGCAGGCTTGGAGGGCGTTTTGTGTGCTGCGTAGTCACATTCAAGAGCTGGATGCGAATTTCACTCGTCACCCTCACCCTCAAAGAGGTGCGTTGGCCCTTGCTGACCAAGGGTTCCAGGGCGGAACACTAAGCAAAACCGAAATCAATGGTTTTTAGCACACTTTCACTGTTTTGTGACTTGCTCACTTGCTCAGGCAAATGTTGGCTTTGTGGCAAATCAGATCACGTCGCTGCGGGGCTCACGGTGCAGCAGAGTAAATGCTTGGCATTGCTGCTTGGTGGGCTTTGGGCTCCAAGAATTCCACGAGACGCTGAGCTCCACGAAAGTTGCACGAGAACGGCTTGCGAGGTTCACCGGGCCTAGGTGGCCCGATTGCACTGTCGGGGCCCGATTGCACCGTTTGGGCCCGATCGGCCCCATCGCGCCCCGATCGGGGCCCGACTCAGTCGGGCCCCGTCAGCTGTACCAAGCTGGCATCGCCTAGTTTTGCTATAGATACAGTTGTCATCCGCATGCTAAGGAAAACCGGCGTTAAGCCAAGGGACGATCGGGCCCCGATTGTACCGTCGGGCCCCGATCGGGCCCCGATTGCACCGTCGGGCCCGATTGCGCCGTCGGCCCCGGTCAGGGCGAGCTTGCGCTGTCACTCGTAGCTTTGCTTTAGAAAGTTGCAAGGCGGCATCCTCAGCAACACCGGCGGTAAGGATGGTCCCGGGCGTTCCGCGAGGATTCTGGGAGGGTGTGGTGCTGTTGGGGATATCGCCCGAGCTTATTCAATGAACGCGGATTAAATGGGAAGTAGATAAGAGAAGAAGGAACACATTGCAAGCATACTACAAAAAGGACATAAACCAAGTAATGCTAATGAACAGACAGCAGTTGAAGGCAAAATGCCTAGATCCGCGGGTTGGGAAGCATCAGTTTGTAGGGAAGCTGATTTACGTAAACGCTTGAGGGATCTTGGCAGAGGGTTGGGGTCTAAGCAGCATCTATTCGAGCATCACTGAGTTGTGCAGGGTTGGCCCAAACGGCGTCATTTTGCGGGCCAGAGATGTGGTAAGTCTTCCTTTTTGTATTGAACTCATTTGGCCCTGCCCAGGTCATGCTCACTTTTTTGTTACCAGGCGTGTCCAAGCCATCGTAAGCTGAGGAAGGTTTCATAGCCAGCACCCACAAGCAGTCCTGGCAAATCGTGCCGTCAAATTGATAGCTTCTCCCAGTGCAGTGACCAGATTGGTGAGGTCTTCGAAGAGCGCTTCCGATGTCACTGCTGCAGTGTAAGTTGTTTGTGAATTGCGCTTGAAAGCAAGATTTCAGCAAGATCAAGACCGGCACGTTGGAGAAATGGTATGGGGAAGGGGGGGAGTCCCGCTGAAGTTTGGTTTGGGCTTGGGGAGGGGCTCGGCGAACACATGAAACATGTGCTAGGCCAAGCAGCGAGAGGAAGAACTCGCCAGAGAGGAGCTCGGACTCGGACCCTCCGCACGAGAGAGAGAAGCGGCTAACAGGAGCGGCGACGAGAAGAAGAGCGCAAGGAAGCGGAGAGGCGACGAAGGGAAGCAGAAGCAAAAAGAAAAGCCCAGCCCCCAGGTGTTTTTCCTTCGCTGGCACAGATTCAGCATAGGCTACTTGACACCCAGGCCTCAGGTTTGATTGTTAAGTAGGGTTGCGTTCCTTTTTTGTCCCTTCTTTTCCAAGCAAAATGGGGCACCCGCCCAGGAAAAACAGCACAACTCAAAATGGGCTGATTCTTGTCCCGAGGCGGAAGAGCAGGAGCGCCTGGAGGAGAGGCAGAAAAGAGAGGAGGAGCTGCGCTTGAAGGCCGCTTCGCTTCGTTCCTTTCCTGGCTGACGCGTACGTGGCATTTGGTTTGCAGGCCTTGCGGGAGGCCGAGGAGAAGCAGAAGGAAGAGGAGCGTCAGAAGCAGGAGGCTGCCAAGCGGAAGAAGGAGGAGATCCGCCGAAAGACTGAGAAGAGCGAAGAGCCAGAGCCAGAGCGAAAGAGCGAAAAGGCAGAGCCCAAGGAAAAGCCCAAGGAAAAGTCAGCAAAAGACTCTGGCACTGATGATCCGGAGGCTTGCCCAGTTTGCACAAATCAAGTCTTGCTGACCCTGCCATGATGTGGCGACATGCTGTTTTGTAGGAGTACTGTCAGCACCGCCGCCGGGGCGAAGAGGTGGAGGCCGTTTTGGACGGCTTCGACTGCGCCGCGCGCTCGCGCCAAGAGCGCGCGCCGCGAGCGCGCAGGTGGCCATGGCGCAGCGGGAAGCTGAACAAAAGGCTCGCCCGGGAAGGGACTCCGCGCGAGAGAAGAAGGCCGGAGGGAGCCAGTGACCGGAGCGGCCTGTCTCCTATGCCGTTGCAGGACAAGGATGAGGTGAAGGACGCCAAGAGCTGCGACAACGGGCTTGGGCAGGCAAAGGCAGCAGCCTCGTTTCTTTCATTTTGTTTTGAGAATCCCTCTTTTGCTCTATGAGGTGGTAAGCATCCACAGAGCTTTTGAAATCAACTGTTGAACTCGCATGCCATGTGCCAGGAGAGCGGTGAACAACCAACGCAGGCCAGCCTTCAAAGATTGGCTGAGCTTAGTTCAGGTGGTTCTTTCTTGAGATCCTTGCCCAACCCAGGTCAAGTCACTGCGACAAACCTTGACTCCTTCTCAGCTGCGACGACAGCAGCGGAAACGCCAGCGCGAGGCTCCAAAGTGCACGGGGGCTCCCTGTGTTGATGCCAGTTTGGAACGTTTGCAAGACACATCGTGATGGGCTCTTGGTCGAGGGGCTCCATGATCATGTTTATAAGCCCTTGGCCGCGTGCATTGGTTGGCCTGCACGGCTGTGCCCACCTGAAACGTCATGAACCCCCCGGTGACTGCCAGCAGGCACGGCGCGCCGCAGAGCAAGCAGCACGAGAGGCTGGGGCTCTCCCGGGCGGATGTGCAGGCCTGGGCTTTGCTTTCAGGAAGACGACAGCGAGGAAGAAGCTGAGAAGCCGAAGCCGGCCGAGCGCAAGCCCGAGCAGCTTGGCGGCATCATATAGGTCACAGGAGAAGTGAGCGCATTTCCTGCCAGGAGGAAACAAAAAGAGGGCAGATCACAAGAGAAGGCTGCACAGGCAATGGCCACCAAATCAGAGGTTGACTTGCGATGTTGCTTTTAGCCACCTATGCTTTTTTGATGCCCCAGGCAGAGGCTGAGCTCAATGACGCAAGCGGACAGTCTGACGACGTCAGGAAATCAGCCGTTTGGCAGCTGGAGAGAATGTGCAGAGAGCCAGCTTTTCAAGCCCATAATGTCCTTTGCATCGAGGTTGGATCCGGCCCGCCAACGCCGAACCAGCCTCTTCCCCAGAGCGATGGGCAGTTGCCAGTTGGAAGCATGCTTGCCTAGGGATCACAGTGCTGGCCTTGGAGAGGTGGGTGGATGCAGCCAGGCAAGGCTTCTACTTCTATGCCCTTTCTGCCAGGATGAGCTTGAGTCTGATGGAACTGGCACGGATTTGCGGCCCCAGCCTCAAACCTTCCTGGTGGTCTTAATCCTACTGGCTTTTCTTGCAGGAAAGATGCCGAGGCGAGAGATGCCTACTTCCAGCACATTTGTTTGACAGAAGTTACTGGTCCTTGGTTTGCACGTTGGGCCGCCTGCAGGCGTTCTCATCGCACCTGGGCAGCATGACCGTTCTGGTTTCGGTACCACCCACCCAGAAAAACACATCAAAACATGTACCAGTCACTGCTCTTCGTCCGATCGTCGGACAGAGTCTTTCCTCATAATATGTAGTTTGATGGAAGTGGCGCGAGGTTTGCATGGACGGCTTGTGTCCAAGGATGTCAGGCCGAGGGCGCCGCTCACAGTCACAGGCATGGGCCTTGCTCTCGTCACCAGTTGCTTCTATTTTGCGTTTCGAGTTTATTTGCTTCACGTTGGAAGCATGCCTCAAAGAAGCATGAGCCTTGGAGTTGCCAGGAGATGGACCAGAAGCCGGGTTCTCAGTAGGCAGCTGGAGTGCAAGATTGAAGATTCCTGCTCCGAGTATGATGATGCCCATCACCACGCTCATGATCTCCCAGATTCCAGAAGCATCCGATGCCGAGACGTTCAGGCAAGTGGGCACAAGGAAGGACATTGGCCATTGGGAGTCTTGAGGCACAAGCTGGATTCCTGGGGTTTCATTGGCACCTACAACTTTTTCTACATGCCTCCAGCAGCCTGATCTGGATTTGTTTTGAATTGTGTGATGTAGCTCCAAGTTCCAAGCAAGCGCAGCGAACGACTTAGGATGTGAGCGAAGGGTGGGGTGGCAGATGTGCTTTTATCAACTTCGTGGACCAGGCCATGTCTTGAAGCCTGCATCGCTCAGAGCCGATGTGCAGCCCGCTAGGCCATGGCGACGATGTGTCAAGGTTGCTTTTCTCAAATGCCATGCGGATGTTTTGCGTCAGACCGCGTAAGCTTGGCATGGGCATCTTTTCTTGCCTGCTCCACAGCTGCTGAGGCTATTTCCAGCTTCTCGGCACAGCTTTGTTTGGATAGCGTTTGGTTTTCGGTCTCGGTTTTGCATTTGGTTTGGCGTGTCTCGAGGCAATGCCCCAATGAGGGTACAGCAACCCCATACCAAGTCCAGGGCCTTGAACACAACATCGCGCACTTCAGCCAGCAGCTGGACGGCAGTTGATTAATGGTGAACTCGCAACCTGCTCAACTCAGCAAAAGCTGATACGATGTGTGTTGACAAGGTTTGTTGGTGCCGGAGATATGGTCAACGGCCCGCTGATCGTGCCAACTCCTACCCCAACTGCTTGGGCGCTGAATGGTGCACAGGCAGGGGTGACTACACTTCCCTTGGCACACTTCCCTGGGTGTGAGGCCATGATGACGAGCACTACAGGCAAATTCTCTCCACAGCAGCAATCTTACAAGAGCTGTGTCGGCTGTGTCGCATGATCTGCTGCCAAGTGTGTCCGCAATGAGAGAATCAAGGATTCGGGGGCAATTTCACAAGACCAAGATGTGCGCCTTCCACAAGAAGACCCTTGGCAAGCACAGAAGTTTCTTACATTGAGAATGCTTGGCTTTGGTTAACGCCACCCCGCAAAGGAAGAAGTGCACCATGGGCGTCGCGTGCCCGTTTGCACACTCCAAAGATGAACTCAACGCGCCACCAGACCTATCAAAGACCAAGCTTTGCGCTGCTTGGCTTGCTAGAGATGCTCCTTGATAGGGAACTGCGAGGAGACCTGAGCCGAGGTGAATTTCTTTCGGAGAAAGCACTGCGCTTAGCGGAGTGCATTGGATGCTTCGGCTTGCTTGTTTGTGTGAGGTGCAACGACGTCAACTGCAAGTTTGCGCACGGGCCCGGCACTTAGAGTCAGAGGCTCGCGGTTCCAGTTGAGGGTTCCTCCTGGCTGAGGCATTCCGAGCTTCGTGCGACTGGTAGCGTGTACAAGACAGAGCTGTGCAGGGCATGGTCGACAGGAACCTGCAAGGCTGGGGTGAGTGGCATTGTTCTGCCATGGTCCGAGTGTTGCGGGCCTGAGCTTGGAATGAGTGTGTTCCTTTGATTAGGATGGTTGAAGCATGTTGGATTGTGATGAGCGGTATATGTTTGATTTCAATTGCCGACTTTCTTAGGATTGATATGTGTTTAATGACTCTGATGGTTGATATGTGTTTGATATTGGGGGGTGTGGCGTGTGGAGCGTGGAGCGTGGAGTGCGCAATGTGGAGTGTGGAGTGGAGTGTTTGGTGTGGGTGGGTGTGGAGCGTGGGGTGTGGAGCGTGGGGTGTGGAGCGTGGGGTGGGGTGTGGAGCGTGGTGGAGTATGGGGTGTGGAGTGTGGGGAGTGGGGAGTGGAGTGGGGAGTAGGGAGTGTAGTGTTGAGTGTGGAGTGTGGAGCGTGGGGAGCGTGGGGAGTGTGTGGAGTGTGGAGCGTGGGGAGCGTGGGGAGTGTGGGGAGTGTGGAGAGTGGAGCGTGGAGTGTGGGGAGTGGGGAGTAGGGAGTGGAGTGTGGAATTTGGAGTGTGTGGAGCAAGTGTTGCAAGCCTGAGCTAACGTGTGAGCACCTTGTCGCTGCAGGCTGGAGATACCTGTCGCTATGCACACGGGGTCAACGAATTGCGAGGGGGAAGTATGGCAATGGCTGGTTCGCCATGGGCCCAGTTTCTGTCTTTTTGACAGCGTGCCTGGCACGTAGCAAGGCTTCTGAATTTGCGCCGCACTACCCAGGGGCTACATGGGCTACGGAATGGATGACGAGTATATGCAGATGGAGGGCATGCCAATGGGTGGTTTGCCAAGCATGGACGTGCATGCCACATCTTGTGGACGATGCGGCCATGAGGCTGCGACGCTATGGGAGGCCTGGCTGGCATTTGGGAGAATGAGGCCGCGCGGGGCCAAATTGAGCTGCAAGAGCACAGAGCTCGAAGAGGGGTACCAAGGCAGCAATGCAGCACTTCTCTGGCTCTGGCTATGGCAGTCTGTCTTCCTACGCGTTGCCACCCAATGCAGGACGGGTGTTTGGGGTCTAAGCAACGCTGTAGCTTGGCAGTGCGCAGGAGAACGTGGAAGGTCACAATCCTCGGCCTTTTCGTCGGGACAGCCGCAGGCAGGCCAAGATAGTTGCCCCAGTGCGTTTGGACGGCGTGAGTAGTGCCCTGAGTTCAGGACGGAACAGGTGATGGCTTTAACGATGCCATGAGCGACATGGGCTTGTCCGATGTCTCCACGCTTTGTCCCGGTGAAGCTTGGCTTCAAGTGCTTTGCAATCTCCCTGTGCCTTCGGCAGCTTGTTTGAGCGGCGGCTCATGCTTCGCAAACAGGTTTCCGCATTGCCATAGATGTCAAAACTGTTTGTGATGCGCACGGTGTAGTCCCACATCCAATGCAAAAGGATCCTCAACCCGAACAGCATGTAGCACTCAGGGCTGACAACTTCAGAACATTGGAAAATGTTGGCTTAAGGAGTCATTGTCACGCATTGCCGTGTCCAACAATGTTGCGAATCGTTGTGCGAGACGGCCGCGCGTGCAGAGAGCCACTTGCGTGTGGCTGCTCCTGCTTTCGAGGTTGAGGCTGTGGCTTTGCTTCGCAGGCTTTCCAAAGAACGATGCTGGGGGCCAGCGCTAGGGCAGCTGGGGCACCCCAAAGTAGACCCTTCTTTGGAAGGCAAGACCACCTGGCGGCAGCCACCAAGCAAAAAGACAACAAACAAGTGATTCCAAAATGATGCAGCAATGCTCATCACGGTAGCCCACGCTGGATCAGCAGCATCACTGTGCCAGCGCGCCAGCCGTATCGCGTGATAACCAGCCCAACAAAATAATCAAAACGTACTCAGACCTCGCTTCTGTTCAATCCTCTGTCCCGCCTGTTTCCTCTGTTGTGTTCCTTTCCATTCTGTTCGATCCAGTGTTCCCTCGCCTTGCTTCTTCGGATCCTTGGAGAATATTCTGACGCAGACCGTCTGGCCACACATGTACATTGCTGATGCAGAGCCGGCCACGGCAGCAAAACAGCGACTGTTCATGTTCACTCGGCATTGCGTGAAGGCAAACCAGTCATTAGCTTTTTAAGCTTGTTGCCCGACGCAACTCTTGGCACGCGCACGCGCGCAGCGAAGCAACGCGGGATTTCGTTTCGCCCTGGTTGATTTTGCCTGGTTGCTTGCTTTGGGCAATCTGTAAACTGCCATGTCCAAGGAAGGCAGGCTCAGTCGCCAACAGACTGCGCCCCCAACAGCGTGCGCCCGGCACGTTGCGTGATGGCTGGCGCGAGGAGGAACACATCTCAGCGTTGCATGTCTGGACAGGTCGTTCCCTGCAGATATGCCACTTGCAAGAGGGGAAGCTAATCACAATGTCGTTCTGCGGGTCAAAGGGACCTTCATGGAGTCAGTGGCTTAGCGCTGTGGCACGAATTGAGTGGTAGTCCCCGGAGTGCTGCTTCATGAGTGGCAAGTTGGGTCTCGTCCTAGGTCAGTTTTCCTGGACGAGGACATGCAGTGTCACTAGATGTCACACTAGTGATGGCAGGCCATAAGAACGTGAGCTTGGGCGGACTCGCTTGCAGGAGGTGGAGAGAATGCCGTTGCGACGCTCGTGGAGTGACGGTGATTTGCCGCAACTACAGGACGCAGATGGAGAGCTAGTCATGCTCCTGGTTCGACGGATGGTGTTTGCCGGCGCTTGCTTGGGAGGACATTGATGGCGAACACGATCTTTAAGCGAGTCTCACTAATGACAGGCGGCTGATGTAGTTTAAATCCTTTCAGGTCGCTGATTTTGTGGAGGGCAGCTCTAGAGAATGTTTATGGCAATCGTGCCAGCGCAAGCGGGGTCTTGTGACCCGCGGCTCGATTTGAAGGACCTGCAGGGTCGAAGCCTGGCGCAGGGCTCGACCACAACCGGCGCCTAGGTTTCTCAAACACGCAAGTTTCTTAGCAAGAGCTACAAGATCACGGCTACGCCCGAGTCTCATTCCCTAGGCGCAAGCTGGTCATATTCGGTGATGGAACCGTGCCAAGCCTTTTTAAGCGCGCTTTCACTGCGGATTGAATTGCACCAGGCCTTTCTCAGAACACCTCCAAGTGAACATTTGGTCTCGATAGCCTGAGTTTACCAAGAAAGGCAAGGTGCTTCAATTTAATGCAGATTCTCCAGTGACATTGTGGAGCTGCTTGCGATAAGGCTGGGATGGTTGATCGGAGAAGCTGCAATTTGTGGCACCCTTCCTTCATCCCTGACTTACTGCACAGGAAAGCAGGTGGTTTGCATGCAGCTCCATGGCATTCCCATTGTGTAGTGCAACTCGGCCAGCAACTAATACGGACGCAGGTGTCTTACTTGCTCGCAAGGTTTGCTATGCGACTCCCGTGAATAAGGTGACTCAGCGAAGCTTTTGCTCGATGCTCAGCTCATTGCTCTCTTTTCGGTGCTAGACGCACATGCCCAGGCTCGGGGACGCTCTGAGAGTGGTCATCCCTGCAGTGATCGCGGGTTGCTTTTTGACTCCAAGATGGCCATGAAGAAAATGCGAACCTCCGCGAGTGTCGGGTATGGCTCAGGGTCTTGTAGGGGGGTGGAAGCCGACAGCTTAGGATAGGTATTCAACGATGCCTGGTTGACGATGCCTTGTTGTCGACGCCTTGTGGATAATGCATACGGTAGAATGTGATTGTTCACCATGTCTTAGGCGACTCCTGCGGGAGACATTCGGTTCAGTAGGACTTTGACTGTGAGAGGCTCTCATCAATCAAGCCGGACAGTAACACCTGGAGGTCACAAAGCAAGAGTGCAAAACCACAAAGCAAGCACTGGGTGGGACACAAGGAAGAGCCGTTCGGGCTTGCAACATTCTTACCACTTATCTCCAGCACGCAGAGTTGCATCGAACATGAGCACTTAGCATCTCTGGGCCCTTGATGGTGCACAAGTTGGTTGCCGGGACATCGCGTTTTGCTGCGTGCAAAGAACTGGGCGGGATGGAGCTGCTGGAAGTGATGGCGGCCATTGCGAGCATTGCTCAGCGGTTGGCTCATCAAAGCGGTCATGGCTCTGAGATGCCGCGCTCCAGCGAGATGCAATTTCTCCCCTCTCCGGCCAGAAGCTGATGTTTGTGAGCGCGACTTCTATCGTTTTGTTGGATTGCTGCGGCATCGAAATCCCCGCAGCATAGCAGAACTTGGCGCAGCGATTGAGCAGCACCTGAACCGTGGAGCTTTTGGCCACGGGCAACTTGTACAGCTTGTTTGTTCGACTGCTGCGTATCTGTCAAGGGTGAAGATGGACGGCTTCCAAGGCAAGGCACACAGTCTGCTCGCAGGAGCTTGCTTGGAGTTGGTAAGGGCGCCGGGCAGAGAAGTCGTGCAGGCCGTGCGCGCCATCACGCATCTCAGCCGGGCGAGGCCAGACTATGGCACCCTGCTAACGGAGACCGGCTTGCTGGCAGCCGCAAGCGCCCGCTTGTCAGAGTTGTGCCCACGAGATGTCTCGAGATGTGCTTGGTGCTTCGCGGTTTTAATGTCTACTTCCCCAGTCTTGCTGGACATGGCAGCGTCAGCAGCTGCTCATATCCATGAGTACTCCTCATTTGCAATATCTAACCTAGCGTGGTCCCTGGCCAAAATTGGGGGCCAGAACTTCCACCAATATGATAATTCCTGCAGAGCGGCCTGTTCTGCTTTCTTCAATGCGATTCCCGAAGCGGCGCTGGCACAGTTTGACGCCAGCGACCTTGCTGGCCTTGCGTGGGCATTGGGCACATCTTCCTGCAGACCAGGCCTCATGCGTGCACTGTCAGCTGAAGCCCTCTTGAAAATGGTGCAACTAGAGCCGGCACACCTTGTGAACATTTGTTGGTCTATCGGCAAGCTAAAGCTTTCAGAGGACACATTTTTGCAAGCAGCTGCGTCGCTATCTATGACTGCTTTTTCACCAGATGCACTTGTCAGCATTTCTTGGGCTTTTGCCCGCGCATCTCCAAAGGTTTTTGGCAGCTTTCACTTGGATATCACAAAGATATGCGTCGCCAAGCTAGACATGCTATCTCCAAAGTCCTTGTGCAACTTACTTTGGGTTCTTGCGAAGGAAAGGGCGGACGGCACTGCCATCGGTGGTCAGAAGATTTTGCCCTTCCATCTTGAGGCACTTACCAGTGCCGGACAGGTCGCCTCACACAGATTCACTACCCAGGACGTTTGCAGTTTCTTGTGGGCAATGGCGGCGCTGGTGTGTGTCGACAAAGTGCTTGTCAAGCAGCTCGGTGGCTTGGCCGGTCGCAACATCAGCAACTTGGAAGCTCGACAGCTGGCAATGCTGAGCTGGGCCATTGCAACGCTCAAGTCAAGGCAGCCATTTCTACACATGGTCCCAGCTCAAGCCCTTGCTCAAGTTCAAGGTGGCCGAGACCTTGCGAATATCGTGTGGGCGCTCGCGCATGCAGGTGCTACGCCAGGCCGGCCACAGCCACGGGCCTGGCAAAGGCTTGCTGAGAAGGCAGCTTCAACTGAGGATTTGACAGGGCAAGGTCTGGCCAATGTGGCCTGGGCGTGTGCAATTGTCTCTATGGAAGGCAGCAAGGCACACAGGCTTCTCTTTGCAAGAGTGGCAGGAAAGACGTCCGAGCTTCAACTCCGGGATGCCGCCAACATTGCCTGGTCTTTGGTCATGCTTCGGTCGAGGGCGGATGATCTGCACATAGTGCTGTCCCGGGCATGTGCATTGCTTCGGCCTTCGCTGGGCAAAGGTGGGAACCTGCCAGACGCGACGTCGGTCTTAGCCTTGCTTTGGGCGGAGGCCTTCGCAGGTCGCGGTCAAAGTGGCGGCAATGGCAGCGAGCTGTACCACTTGGGGAAGGCTTTCTTGCAGCTCACTGGGCGTACCTTGGACTCCGGGCACCTCCCACTGATCCCGACCCAGGAAATGGCACCAGGCGAGCCCAGCATTCTTTTGAATTTGTCGGACAGGATGGTACTGTACAAGCCACACGGTTGGGAGGTGGACCAGGCCACGTCTGAAAGCGCGGCGGAGCGTCTGAAGCTGTCATCATTTGTCAGGAGTCAATTCACAACTAGGCAATGCCCAATATTGAAGGACGCTGGGCATTTGCATGGCTTCTTGCATCGATTGGACTTGCCAAGTTCGGGCCTCCTCCTGACAGCTAAGAGCTACGAGGCTTTCTATGACCTCATGCTTCAGCTGCACACGGGTGTGTTGGTTCGGGATTACGTTGTACTTTGCCATGGGTGGTTGTCGCCATCCTGTCGTGAGATTGATACGAGGATCGCGTGGTCAAATGCTGCAGGCAGCGGGCCGCCGAGCCGAGCTCAAAATGACACAGGCAAGCCAGCAGTCACCAAATTGCGAGTGTTAGCTCATGCAATCCGCACGGATGACAGCTTCAGCCTGGTGGGGATCAGGATTGCGACTGGAAGACGGCATCAGATTCGTGCGCACCTTGCACATATAGGCCACCCAGTCGTTTGCGATGGCAAGTATGGAAGGCTTGCCCATTCAAAGCAGGAAGATTCCAGCAGATTTGCAGCTTGGCAACCCTCTGACGAACAGTTTCGCAAAGACCGGGAGTGGTGCCCTCGCAATTTTCTGCATCGCTACCGCCTGGCCTTCACCGCTCAAGAGCGTCCCTACGAAGTTTTGGCGCCCTTGCCAAAGGAGTTGCTTGCGGCCTTGTCACAACTTTCCCCCAGAGAGGATGCATCTGAGCTTCAGCTGCAGGGCTGGCTGCTGGGAAATGCTGTCAGAGACTGGGCCGAGTTGCCAGTTCTGCCTGTAGGGCAATCCGAATCCATGAAATGAAGAAAGGCAATGTGCAGGTGTTCAGTTTATGTGTGATTGGGTATGTCTTGCCGCTTCGTCTCTGTACCGCTTCAGTGTGCAGATGCCAGAAGCATAATTGCCATCTTTCGTCAAAAATGGCTTGAATGCACTGGAGTGTGAAGATAGCAAAGCTGACTGATGCGCTCAGGAGTATCAATGCTGCGCATTGTTGCTGCCCCATTTGCAGTGTTTGGTTCAATCACTTAAGTTCGGCAAAACGCAGCCATCCGAATCCAAACAACAACTTGTTGGTGGCAATGACGAAGCATTTGTGGCATAGGACCATGGTCAAATGCTTGCGGGCTACTTCCCACAGCATACCCCAGGAAAAGTTTTTGGTTTTCACGCTCGGTTGAGGGGCGAATGTGATTTGTGTTTTTTTTCAGTGGCCTGAGCTCGTATGGGGTTCGAGCTGAGCGGGTCGAAAAGGTGGTTGAGTGCTTTGGGATACTAATCCTGGCACTTTGCAAAGCTGTAAGACGTCAGAAAGCCATGGCAATTGACATGGCAGCCCAATACAAGAAGTGGGACGACTTTGATGATGAATTGGAGGACTTGGACGAGGATGCAAATGATGGCTTCGAGCTGAATTCAGGCATGGATCTCAATGCGTTGACGGGGCCAGCGGAAGAGGTCAAGATGATCAAAGCTCATTGGCGAAGGGAAGGCAGGCGGCTGGCGAGGTCTTCCCAGAAGCCGCCCAACAACGATCACAGGCAGAAATCCATTGTGCCTGAGCCAGGGCCTATGCAGGAACGACCCTGCGTGACATCAGAGCAGCGCCTTTTAGAACAGAATTACAAGAAGTGGAACAAGTTTGATGCGGATGCTGCCATGCTGGAAATCGACAATGCAGATACAACAGAAGAAGGCAAAGCAATGCGTTTGTCAGCAGGACAAGGCTCCGCGATGCTCAATTGCGAGGGGTACACCAAAGATAGGGAGGAGTATGATCTCGACCAAGACATTGAGCGCAATATGGGCGGGCTCAAGCAACTTTTGGCGCAAAACTTGAAAGATGCCTCGCAATTGAAGATGGAAGGGAACACCATGCTACGAGCTGGTCAAGCGAAGGAAGCAGCCGATCAGTACCGGAAAGGCATTGAGACCCTGCAGCTTGCGCGGCAAGCGAGTGTCTTGATGAGTGCTTCGCTGGCTGACAAGCAGCACCTTGGCATCCATAGGTGGCCTGTTTAGGTTAGTTTGGTCAAACATAGATGACATTGGCATAGATTGGTTTCATTTCATTTGCCAGGGCCATCTATTTCTCCAAAAGGTTGCCTATGTTGGCATCCATTGACTTCCCGGAAGCAAGTTTGGGGCGATGGGATCGAGTACAGCCCCTGAGAATGTCTTTTCTATCAAAGGTCCCAGCTGCTGGCGGATTTGAACAAAAACCTTGCAGCGGCCCAGCTTGCGATCTCTGACTTCAGCGGTGCGCTGGCGAGCGCAGATGAAGCTTTGACAGCCCCCTGACTGTAGTCGGAGTCAGTTGTGCCGACGAAGTTGCTTCTGAAGTTGACTCTTTCCAATGTGACCTTATATCTCACTGGAGCGTGAGGGCCCGGTTGAACAAAATGCCCTTATATCTCACAAGCAAGTCTCGTCGCGTGTGATGTGTTGCCGACGTCATAAGTTGGCCCCCGGCAGGTTTCAGATGATGAGAAGGCAAGATACAGACGTGCAGTTGCCCTGGTTCGGCTAAAGCGCCTGGATGAAGCACGGAAGGAGGCCAGGGGCGCGCACAGTTGCTTTGTAGTCGCTGACTAAGTGACTAACCTGCAGGTTGAGAAATTGGATAGCATCTTGCCGGCAAGTCCTGCTACTGAACATTGCTACGGGACCGTGTTCCAACCATTTTTGCCATCTGTTGCCCAAGGTTCTGACCCAGCTGTGCAGAAACTGAAGTCTGAACTAAAATAGCATCAATCGCAAAAGTGTTGCGGCGTGCGTTGCAACGGAAGGTTGCTGCAAATGGCTCGGCCCATACAGGATGAGGGCCACGCATTGCCAGCACAGGTTCAAGTGTAGGTGCAAAACACGTATCTAAGTTCCAGACAAAGCAGCACAGCGCACCTTCAATGGTAGGATGTATTGAGCACAATTAAAGTGGAGATTCCGTTTGGCTCAAAGGTTCAGAGCAGCGTTGATTTGTGGCAACTCATCAAAAGGCCCAAACGCGCTTAGCCATTTGCTGCGATGTGGCCATCCAATGTCATCGTGTTATCTTTGTGCGGCTTGGTGGCCGCAGGCTGGATCTTGACCGCACTCCGGTGTTTATGACACACGTGGTGTCATATGTGACAGTGCAGTGTTGTGCGACAGGTGACCAGTGCAATTGCAAGTCAGCAGGGCTGAAGTGCTTCTACGACAGCTCTTGCCCAGGGCTGGGATGCGGAGCTGAGGGGCACCCGAATTGCAGGTTCTGCGGGGATTCAGCTGGACAATTTCAGGCATGCCCCAGCAAGAAGGAGATTGAAGCAGCGGCTCAGGCGACAACGCCCAAGCCAAAACCCAAGCTGAAACATATTGAAGCAGCGGCTCATGTGACAACGCCCCAGACGGAGCATGCAGAGAAGAGAGATAAGCCAAAGATGAGCGGGGACAAGGCCATCAAAGCCAAATCAAGCTCGAAACCTAGCGACGCTTTGATTGGGCAGGGCCTGGGCAGTTGGGAAACGAAGTTGATTGCCGGGTTGGGGTGCGCATAGCTCAGGCCACGACCGCTGCCCATGCTGGCATTCTACTACGCTGCGCTGCTTTTATGATGTCGGGTGTCCAGGAATAGGTTGTGGGGCGCATGGCCACGACAATTGCAGCGGCCTAAGTCATGTGTAGGGGGTCGCCAGTCAGTCAAACATGGTGCATGGTGCTCTCAGCCAGGCCGCTTCTGCGGTGACAAAGCAGGGCAGTTCCCGGCATGCCCCGAAACGGAGATGCCCAAGCCGGAGCAGCCAAAGCCGAAGCAGTCCAAGCCAGTCAAGCAGACAGATGCACAGCCCAGTCTTGATGCTGAGCTCGGCGACGCTGTTCTCGACACGCCTATGACTTTGGATGTGTACCGGTGCATGGCAGCCGCAGCTGTAGATACGCATCCTTTCGAAGACGATGACATCGCTGATTTGACTGGTGCACTCAAATATGTACACACCGAGATCCTGACGGAGCATTTGCAAAGCCCCATCCGGACCACCAGGAAGTACGCCATAGATGCATTCACAGTGCATCGCCTGAGGATCAAGAATCCGAAGACGGTACTCCACACTACCAAAGCTTTGCAAGGCGAGTTCAGCCAGTTTGTGACATATGACTTTGGCCAAGCTACAAATCCTGCCCAGTTGCCTATGCTTGCAGAGCAGGCAGGAAGAAGCTAAAGTCAACGGTCACGAGTATGTGCACTGTGCTTCTCTGTGTGTGTGTGTATGGAATGTAGCTTGGCCCCAGGGTGACTTCGTGGGCATCGCACCTTGCACCGTCTCTTGGCCGGTTGTTACGCTGAAGATGAAGGAGTCTTTGGCGGGGTTTGATTTGGCGCGCATCAGGACCTGCACTGCGATGTGCGATTCCCAAGCCAACGGCCATACTCATGGCTATCCCTGGGTGGCCGTCTCAGAAAATTCTCGGCCTTGCCACATGTGACTTGGCGAAGCCATGCCTGTGCCAAGCTGTTTGCAGGCAACTGGTGCCCCAACTTGACATGGGAGAAGACACTTGGCTGGAAGCGTCAAAATGCTCTAGCAGAGAACCCGGCAGTTTCATGAAGAACATGTTCTCAGATGCAGGTGTTTTGGGGGGGAGATGTAGCATGCTAGCTTGTTGCTGAAAAGCTGTGACACGTCCTTCCTGAGGAAAGGGACCAAGCAAAAGCCCAATCCGAAATGCTTGAAATCACAGGGCCAGACCATAAAAGGCAGGATCTGTCCACAATTTCGTTTGGTAAGAGCGGAAGACTGGCAGGCGGGCTGTGCCCGAATGGCTTCAACTCGAAGGACTTTGTTCCAGGTCAGGTGGCCTGGCTACACTGGGCTGTTTGTACCGATTGGCCAGGTTCAGATCCAACTGGTGAGCAGGGATGTGTCTACACCTACGGCACGGCAAAAGTGGTCAAGCTAGACGATGTTGCCTCGTGGCTGCGATGCTATGCTTGCCACGCTTTTTCGGTCAAGGGTTGCTGCTCGCAGCTGCAGGTGGGGATAACACAGGAAAAATGTGGCAAACAGCTTTGTAAAGACTGGTTGGATTTCCGCTTCAACTGCAGCAACGGCGCCTCGCTTGCATTTTTTACTCTTCAGCATTCGCATGCGTTATATTGCTTCTTGTTTGGTGTGAGTCGTGGCCGTGATTCGCACATGTCTTAGATGATTACCGCCGCCAATTCAGCCTTGATGGGAAGATTGTCCCGGTGAAATACTGTGGCTTGGCGGATTTCTGCGGCTATGCGTGCTGAGGGTTTTCCTTGCCATGAACAGCCGGGTTGACTCATACAACCGCTGGCCTGGCTGGTCTGGGTGTGAGACTCCTGAGGTGTCGAGTTCGATATTCACCCAGCTTGTGAGGCCAACTGTCAGGCACGGCTTGCGTCAAAGGGTGATGCAAACAAAGACGTAGACAACCACAACAAAACCCCGCAGACACACACACACACACCACTCACAAACAATCACACACACACACATACATAGACGCGAAGCACACACACACACACACCCACCCACCCACCCACGCAGGCACGCACGCACGCGCGCACGCCCGCACGCCCGCACGCCCGCGCACGCGTGCGCCAACCCACCCGCCCGCCCGCACGCACGCACAAAGGCACGCACGCACACACAAACCGACAAACGCGCAAACGCACAAAAGCACAACCGCACAAACGCACAAACGCACACACGCACAAACGCACAAACGCGCAAACGCACAATCGCTGAGACGCACAAACGCACAAACACACAAACGCAGAAACACACAAACGCACAAACGCACAAACGCACAAACGCGTAAACACACAAACCATACACACATACACGCACAAACGCTGAGACGCACAAACGCACAAACGCAGAAACACACAAACGCAGAAACACAAAACCGCACAAACGCACAAACGCACAAACGCACAAACGCACAAACGGACGCACAAACAAACAAACAAACAAACAAACAAACAAACAAACAAACAAACAAACAAACAAACAAGCAAGCAAGCAAGCAAGCAAGCAAGCAAGCAAGCAAGCAAGCAAGCAAGCAAGCAAGCAAGCAAGCAAGCAAGCAAGCAAGCAAACAAACAAACAAACAAACAAACAAACAAACACACAACCACACACAAACACACACAAACACACACAAACACACACAAACACACACAAACACACACAAACACACACAAACACACACAAACACACACAAACACACACAAACACACACAAACACACACAAACACACACAAGCACACACAAACACACACAAACACACACAAACACACACAAACACACACAAACACACACACACACACACAACACACACACAAACACACACAAACACACACAAACACACACAAGCACACACAAACACACACAAACACACACAAACACACACACAAACACACACACACAAACACACACACAAAACACACACACAACACACACACAACACACACAAACACACACAAAACACACACAAACACACACACACACACACACACAACACACACAAACACACACAAACACACACAAACACACACAAACACACACAAACACACACAAACACACACAAACACACACAAACACACACAAACACAACACACACACAAACACACACACAAACACACACACAAACACACACACAAACACACAAAACACACACACACAAACACACACAAACACACACACAAACACACACAAACACACACACAAACACACACAAACACACACACACACACACAAACACACACAAACACACACAAACACACACAAACACACACACAAACACACACACACACACAACACACAGACACACAAACACAAGAGACACACAAAGAGACACACAAAGACACACACAAAGACACACACAAAGACACACACAAAGACACACACAAAGACACACACAAAGACACACACAAAGACACACACAAAGACACACACAAAGACACACACAAAGACACACACAAGGACACACACAAAGACACACACAAAGACACACACAAAGACACACACGAAGACACACACGAAGACACACACGAAGACACACACAAAGACACACACAAAGACACACACAAAGACACACACAAAGACACACACAAAGACACACACACAAAGACACACACACAAAGACACACACACAAAGACACACACACAAAGACACACACACAAAGACACACACACAAAGACACACACACAAAGACACACACACAAAGACACACACACAAAGACACAAACACACAAAGACACAAACACACAAAGACACAAACACACAAAGACACAAACACACAAAGACACAAACACACAAAGACACAAACACACAAAGACACAAACACACAAAGACACAAACACACAAAGACACAAACACACAAAGACACAAACACACAAAGACACACACACACAAAGACACAAACACACAAAGACACAAACACACAAACACACAAACACACAAACACACAAACACACAAACACACAAACACACAAACACACAAACACACAAACACACAAACACACAAACACACAAACACACAAACACACAAACACACAAACACGCAAACACACAAACACTCAAACACACAAACACACAAACACACAAACACACAAACACACAAACACACAAACACACAAACACACAAACACACAAACAAACATACACACAAACACACAAACACACAAACACACAAACACACAAACACACAAACACACAAACACACAAACACACAAACACACAAACACACAAACACACAAACACACAAACACACAAACACACAAACACAAACACACAAACACACAAACACACAAACACACAAACACACAAACACACAAACACACAAACACACAAACATACAAACACACAAACACACAAACACACAAACACACAAACGCACAAACACACAAACACACAAACACACAAACACACAAACACACAAACACACAAACACACAAACACACAAACACACAAACACACAAACACACAAACACACAAACACACAAACATGCAAACACACAAACACACAAACACACAAACACACAAACACACAAACACACAAACACACAAACACACA